GACCCACTGATGCATTGTTAGCAGCTTATGATGCGCCACACCTCTATTCAATCAAAGAAAACCTAATTTACACAAACAGCAAAAGTAAATTATTCTGCACAAAGAAAAAACATTTAATTGGAGGAGTTACAGAGTGTTAATGCTAATCTCCCTCAAATCTGCAGTGGATGATTCTGACTTAATTCTTTAAACCATGACTCAAAATATGACTCATCCTGATTAATTAATTCACAGTATTATTTATGAATCCAAGGCCGACAAAACAATTAAAACCTCAACTGCAACCACTGAAGAGAGACTCCCAAAGCAAATTTAAAAACATGCTCATGTTGAATCTCACTGCCTATAGTCTTTATGTTATGATTATGTATTATGTGTGCGTGTATACAGATTCTTTTTCTGCAGGGATGCACCCAAACAACTTTTTCCCTATTCATGTTTTTCTGTATATGTATATGTCTTATTTATCTACATATGTGTATATAGTATGTGATGAAATCGTGTTACTCTTTGTGCATATATATGTATCTATGTGCTTCCATGTGTGTGAATATGTTTGCATGACTGTATTCAAGTGCGTGCATGCACTTCTGCGATGATGCAAAGATGAGATTGTGTGCACTTGTCTATGTTTATGTGCATGTGTGTATGTCAGAGTATATGTATTGACTGTGTGCATATGTTTGCGCATGTTTACCTCTGTTTGTGTGTGTTTAAGACACACTCAGTAATTGGTGTGAAACAAGGAATAAGACACAATACAAGAAACACAGATTGCCTTCTTGCGCTGTTTGTTAACTGACTGGAGCAGACGGACTCTATACAGCCAGTTAACCTCCCATGACTGCCTACATTAACAAGCCATTCACATGTGTTAACTGGAAAGATGACGAGATAAAGCTCCGAGCCATCTTTCACTAAACGTACCTCCAGGAGAGCCCCATCTGGTTTTGCCCGCAGGAGCCCACTAACACACGTTTAATCACCATTTGGAACCGCAGTTTGTTTGACTGTTTGATATTTACGCTTGTGCTCTACTTCAGCGCCTCCTTAAGTAACACATTAACAAAACATGGCAGTTGATGGATATGCTCACTACAGAAGGCACTGAACAAACTGTGCAGCGCTTTTGATATAGTGGCTGTAAATGGAAATAAAGAATGTAAAGTAATGACCACTGAGGGAATTCTAATCAGGAGATGTTTCAGCTGGTTGCAATCTCTGCAATCCTCACCGCTATATTCCACAAAATCCCCTTACATCTTACACAGTAGCCCTCTAAAGTAACCAAAACTAAATCCTAAGTGCTAAATCATCGGCAACTGGACAACGTTTCACCTCTCGTTCAAGAGGCTTCTTTAGTTCTAATGGTTACCAGGATTACCATGACCTGAATGACTGAGAATCTTCACCAACGTAAGACCTAAACTGAACTAATCTAATGTTTAAAACTATGCATTTGATTCCTGGATCTTGTGGGCAGTGCTACACGGTGAGGTAGGGAGCTACAGACTAAATAAATTTAGCAAAGAAAACTCAAAACATGTAACTTCAACATCTGCGCTAGCAAGCCATGCTAGCAGACAGAAATAGGTCCTGCCTAAATTTCTTAACTCATTTTACTCTCAATGAAAAGTATTATCAATGATTTTTCAAAACAGATATAATTTTTCACATCTTACTTTAATATTGCAGCAACAAATCAAAAACACAAAACAACACATTTTTGAAAATTTAATGACAAATGTTAGTATTACTTTGGTCATTTTGGGCACCAGTAATTACACAGGAAGTCAGTGCAATCTTGGAGAGACTGGACTATGAAGACAAAGTCACTAATCAATAATATGACATTTAACTAAATAATATACCTTTTATAATAATTGCTGATTTACCTTGTGAATTAGATCACATCTGAAATACCATCTGGAACAATGACTCCAGTATTCTGGAGCAGAGAAAATATTCAGCTCCCCCTGGAATATAAATCCTGTCCAAATGGGACTTGAGACTCTGATGTCCTTCTTGGTCGTTCTCTGTAATGCAGCTAAAATGACCAGATTATACAGTCAAGTTTTACTCACACTGACCCAGATAGACCCCAGCCCATTCCCTAACCACTCTAAAAGTCATTTAGTGCTCATTTAAAAGTTGATAAATGATAAGTGGCTTTAAATGCGATGAAGAGGATCAATCCTTCTAAAAGCAATCGACCATTGTGTCACACACTTGGCCGCTCAACTGTAAAGGATACATTTCCATTAGGGGGCTCCAGCACAGAAACACTGCTGTAGAATATATACTGTATCGTAGCATCTGTGTCGTCAGAATAACATCGATAACACATTCATTGTTCCTACGTTGCTGATTTACACTGTAGTGCCTCTTTATGGAAAATGAATTCTCCTTTCTTGTCTCACAAAACTGGCAGTAATGCTTTATTGATCCTCAGGAAACAGGTCAAAACAGAGCGACAGCTGCATGGTATTTTAAGCCTTTAGTGGGACTGATGCTTGACATCACAAAGACTGTGTACCTGCCAGTCAAAGGGCAGAGTCCTTGCTCTGTGTGACACTAGTCTACCTGTTCATTTCAGGAACACTGAGCTTTGACTGGGCAGCGAAATGGAAAACTGTTGTTTCACTGTTGAATAGCTGAGCAGCAGCAGCTGAGACACGTTGACCTGAGGCATTGTGAGTACAAACAGCACGGGCTCAGGGTTAGTGCTGACATAAATATTACACTGTAGATGAGATCATACAGTCACACTGACTGGTTTATAGCTCATGTTGTAGATGCAAATATAATATCTAGTCTATAACACCATATAGTCTCTCTCTTAATGAGAAAATAGAACATCAGCCAAACTCCACCAGTCAATATCTTTGATAATAAGGCTTCTTTCACATCCTAATGGACCCTCTGCAGCCTGCAGACCCTGCTGCTGAAATGTTACTTCAGGGATCTATAGTGGGAAATTTATGTTGCTGATTCAAAACTGTACAGTAGTGTAACTCCAAAAGTGAAACGTTTTCCTCTTATAGTAAGTTCAGGTAAATATGATATTAATGAAATTACACATCCTCATTATATTCAGGATGCCCCAAAGGTCCTTGAGGATGTTCTAGGTGTTTAATTTAATCTAATCTTTGCAATGAAATATACAGAAATGGAGATTGGTCATACTTCCATTTTTTTCCGATGCCATTATCTTCTCCATTATCTTGAGTTAATTTCGTTATCTGGAGAAAATGGGCTTCATTATCTCGAGATGATGAGATAATTATATAAAGGTTGTTTCATACTGACATCGATTTTTACTGTCACCACAACCTGGACCTGAGGAGGAATGCTAATGCTAGCTACAGTACACCACCTCACTTCTATACAGTGGTACAACTCAGAGCTGCAGGACCTGCTGATGACTCAGCATGTGTTGAAATACCATGAATGAAAAGTACCGCCAAGTGAGAATCGGTGCTAACGTTAGCATCCAGCTTCCACTTTCATGTGGAATACAAACTGAACAGCACGATGGGTCCTCACCATCTTTTGAATGTTGTAAAGGGTTTCTGTCCCTTTACAACATTCAAAAGATGGTCAATTGCCAGCGGTACATAACCAATGCTATGAGGGTTTGTTGAAAAAAGGACAGAAAAGTCAACGTTTGTAGGCTACAGGGCTACTTTCACACAACAAAAAAGTGCCTCTCCAAACAACGCTGGCTCTCAAATGTAAGTCACTAGCTGCCTTGGGAGACACCCACCCAGAGGCCTGAAGCTTAGACGCTGTTTCCACAAATATGACCTCTTTGAGAAGCAGCAGGCACAATAGCATTATCTGCGTCATCACAGTTCATATTTCCCTACACGCAGATAATTCAATTTACCGTTCGACTGACTACCGTGCCAAGTAGATGCACACATATTATTATAATTAATTTAATTGCTCATTTGGATACACTTTGATCCACATATAAAACTGTTTTAATGTTTACATCTTGCCAAAGAGTCTAAATGCCCGGACAGTGACCCTGAGACGTTGTGCAGCATCAGATGTCAAATACATCAAACCCTGGAGGTGTGACTCAAACCACAGAGCAAACGACGCTATCGCCCTTACATCTCACGCTGTTGGAGATAAACCCTGAGGGATAACAGCAGCAGTGTGTGGTGTGTGACCAATTCGTTTACATATTTGGCTTGTAGCAGGTGAATGAATAGCTCATTGTGTGTGTTGGACTCTGAAACTTGTCTGGATGCCAAAAGAAAGACATAATATTTACCAGTTTGTTACAGGTTGAAACATCTGCAGTGCAGTGAATAGGGAAATAATGAATAGTTAAAATTAGAGAACAATTAAGCATTTTTTGTAAGTCCGTCCTTCCTTAGCCTTAGGTTTTCTGTTCCTGAAGCTGTTTCTGTCTGACCAATGACATCCTTTGTTCCAACTGATGTCATACCTCCAATTCTGAGCTAGCTTGCTGCAAAAATGGGGAAATGTCTTATCAGTTTAGTTAAATAAGGACAATACATGACGTGAGATCCCCCAGCATCTGGGATATGATAAAGATGGTACTGTAGCTGATACACACTTGATAAGATTACATGTTGGGCACGGTACGGGGCTAGCTAGCGTCAAATTTGGGGTCCGATTAGTTGATGTATTGTGTTATTGTTAGCCTCTTGTATCTGTATTGGATAGGTTTTTCTATGTGGAGTGGACTTGGGCGCTATTTCGGAGGAAACTCACTGGGCTAAAATGGGATACGACAGCTCAATAATTTGTTGTCATCCGAAAATTTTGCACATGGATTGTCCATATTCCTGCACCAAATTTTCGCATTACAGCTGTTATCACGTACAATAGCAGTTGTGGAAGTTTTAGTGTGCAGATAAAACAATGTCTACTTAAGATTCTGACAGAATGAAATATCAAAATACTTGGACAAAGTGCTTACAGAGGGAATCTGCATTTGAATAAATCTTATAGACACTCACCTGGTCTTCAAAGGACAAGGCCTGTCCGACATCTCGAGGAAACCCATCTATGACGATACCGTCTGCCTCAGGGATCTTCATAATCTTCTGCTTGATCTCAGTTATTGTTGTCTCCTGGAGAACAGTGGCAACAACAGGTTTCATAATTATGTGCAAATGTCATAAGGGCAATAAACGAGACAATTACTCTATTAGCAGGGGGTTAATTGGATTTTTGTGCAATACAAGTAACTCAACAATTAGCCTGATGCTTGAGCTCCTGGTTTCCTGAACTCCTGTTTCACTTCACTTTGTTACTTTTTAAATGCTAAACAATGTGGGCAGTTCTCTGAGTGAGCGACTGGTGTCGTGGGACATTTCAACAACAAATTTATAAAGCAAAAATGTTTATGGTTGTAATTATAATTAGCTTTTCCAGCAGGAGCATGAAGGAGGAGATTAGTGCCGTTAATGCTGTTGCAATTCCCAGATTCATCAAGGTCGCAGATTAGTTAAAACCCCCTGAAAATTAATAATGAGGAGCTGATTTAGAGTCTTAAAGAAGGTGAACGGAAAACTATGACAGCACATTGGAGAATTCCACAATATAATTAATCACTTTATCCAACTGTACTTTAATACATCTGAATCCAGCAGAACAACTGTTGTGATTGTGCCACAGGCCACAGAATGCCAGCATCACCTAGCATCAATTACTTCCTCACGGCTGAAGGAGGTCAACATGTTCTAATGTATTTCATTTCCCCGAGCTGAATGCATCATACGATATGGCAGAGATACATGAGCAACTCTCAGCTCTAAAAATAACATCCGTGGCCCGACGTTGAGTAACACAGACGTTTCATTTCCCTCCACCCACAGAATAACGGCAGTGGCCTGACAGACTACACAGAGATTAAACCTAATCTAGATTCCATTGAACAGATTAATGTATTTGTGTACAATAAAATGAGAAAAGCTACTCCAAGAAAAGCCCTCCGATCTGCTGCATGGCTCCATGTCTGGGCTATCACAGTAGTGCCAGGCATCAGACAATAATCTCTGACTCTCAATGAGACGATCTATTTACAGCACTGTACCAGCAAACATACAGCAGCTGGAGAGAACCATCCTAAAACTGCTGCCCAAAATACTGCCATGTTCACTTACTGACTTCTTCCTATAAACATTCGATATAATGAATTATTTTTTGACCCTTATGAATTATCGTTATTTTGCACCATCACAAACAGGTGCAGTCTAATAAATGTGACACATTACTTTGGGATTATTTATAAAAAAAAAAAAAAAGAAGGTTCACCAAAATGCTTTTAGGTAACCTACTTTTTTTTAACACCGAAGAATTTTTAGGGCACCACGCAGTGTATAAATTTCACACACTAGAGTTTAGACACTCAGTTAAGACTGCTGTATGTAAATGTGGTGCAATATATAGCAAATAGGGACACATGAGGACACAACTCACTACATTTTAGAGGGAAATATTGTGCTTTTTTTCTTCACTACATTCTCATTCTGCATTGCCTATTTCTCATCTCACATGTTTTCAGAAACATATTTTAGTGTATACTGCTAAGCTGTAAAATGAGGATCAAATCAAATCAAACTTTATTTGTATAGCACTTTTCATACATTAAAAATGCAGCACAAAGTGCTTCACTTGTTAGTGACCTGGCTGCCATGTTGAAAACTAAACCCCACCAACCACCCGAAGCAAACTTTCTCATTTAACAGCTAAACAGTACACTAAAATGTGTTTCTGAAAACATCTGAGCCAAGAAATAGTCAGTGCAGTATCAGAATTCTGATTCATATTTGATCAGCACTGCAGAGTTTGAAGGTTCGACCGTAGTTCACAAGCAGTGATTGACATGATTGACAGCTAAATTGGAGACTCCTTGGGTCCTTTTGCTTATTTTCTTGATTCTTGAAAGTGCCATTAGGAGCACTATGAGGACGCAGAGGAACATGCTTTGTTTCACCTTATGTACATGTACTGTCAGGATGTAGTGACAGTTAGAAAAAACAACTTTTTGTCATATTTGCTAAAACAGTTACCTACTGTAGCTTTAAGTGAAATCTTGAGCGTATGACTTTAAAGTATTTCCACAGAGCGGTGCTATTACGTTAACCTCAGTAAAACATCTGAATACTTCTACCACTATTAAAATGCAAGTTGTGCTGATAGCTGATAAATATTAAGGTGTATCTGTTCTGTCAGACGGGTGTGAGCCAGGCAACTGAAAAATGCAGCTGAGATGCCTCCTTTGTTTTAAAGAGCTCTAATTCGTGCATAAGGTCTACTATGAAAAAAAAAGTTTGAAAAACAGTCAAACTTTTTTTGGTTTGATGTTCTTTGGAACATAAAACGTGTTAGCTGTGTCCCAGTTCCATACTGCATACTGGTTGTAAACAGGCTTTGAGGCTTGCAACCACTAAACATAACATGACAGAAAAAATGACACTAATTGCAAATGATGGTGACAACCCAAAAAGACTTTGTAAGTAAAAAACAAACCAAAAAAAGGGGATGAAAAGTTTTCAAGCCAGTACAGACTAGTTTTAGAAGTGTTCAGAATAACAATATGACAACTGGGCTCTATTGGCTGAAAACACCAAGCGTCGGGGTCAAAACTCAGTAAGTGGACCCTGACTCCGTTTCATCAGCTGCTGTTTCCAGGATAAAGAAGGAGCTGTCAATAATGAAGCTAATAATGGAGCTACTAACAACTACAGAAAATGTAACTAATTACCTATGGTAGTGAGACAACCACAAAACAAAATAATAAGTAATAAATCTTTGGAAAAACTATTTGCTTTCTCTTTGTGAAGTTTAATTAATAGTGTTTTTCCAAAATCTAAGTCTGATTGACATCCACTGGTGCTTTTACTGTAGCGATGGTAAAGTATTTCTACATCTACACTAACTGCAACTGCAGCAATCAGTATGTAGACCATACCATAGTAGCCTGTGTATATGTACATGTTAGTATGTCGTATGGCATTGGCACACAGCTTTTGTAACACTGTGCTTTCCTTTAAGGGGAAAAAAGAAACAATAAATAGACAAAAAATGGTCAGCATCTGCTAAAATTCAACATTTTATTCACTTTGAAGGCCCACACAGTTTAAGCTGGTCTTTAGTTGTCTTTAAAGGGCACCGGATTCTGCTGAACCATCTTAACATGAAGATTTTTCCATGGTCTGGGGATATAAAAGCACAAGTGCTATTAGTCTTTAATTTAGACCAGACTGTCAAACATCCAAGATCCTCTTATGCAGAGACCTGTGGGATTTCTGAGGGAACAGAGATTCTGATAAATACTGAGTCATATGACCTTGCAGTGAGTTACAGACAAACAGTGAGAACTTAAAGTTGATGTGGCTGTTGGCTGAGAGTCAGTGAAGTGGTTCTGCGTGTTTGCTGGATTTTGAACCACAGCTGAGAACAGATATAGTGCTCAAGACTACAAGAATAAACCCATGAATGATGTTTTTTTTCAGCCTACCTACAGAGAGAAATGTCTAAATTATAGAAATATGCATTTAAAAGGAATAGTTAACATTTTGGGGAATATGCTTACTTGCTTTTTTGCCTGAGAATTAAATGAGAGGATCGACACCGCTCTTATGTTTGTGTGTTAAATATAATGCCAGCCAGATAATTAGTTTGGCTCAGCAGATAGACTGGAAACAGGGGGGAACAACTAGTCTGGCTCTGTCCAAAGACAAAATATCCACCTGCACCTATAAAACACCTCACCAATAAACACATTATAACTTGTTTGTTAAATCCATCAAAAAATGGACATGTAAAAAGGCAAGTTGTGCTTTTATGGGAAGCTATGTGTTGGATTATTTCAAGCCAGGGTGGCTGTTTCACCAGTTTCTAGTCTTTATGTTAAGCTGCTAACAGTCTGTCAGCTGTAGCTTAATATTTAAAGTCCAGATGAAACAGCATTTTGAGGGTATCTAGCTTCAGTTTCGTGACATATTACAGAGTCAAACAGGATGGGCAGGTGGGCTATAACATTGGGAAGACTTTGATTTAAAAAATTCAAAAAGGGTTAAAAAGGCATTTTTTGTTTCATCTCGACTTTAACAGATGTAAGAGTAGTATCAATCTTCTTAAGTGTGGATAAATTCCAAAAAATGTCAAACTATTCCTTTAATTTGCTTTTAAAAACATAACTCTCAAAGTGAAAACTCAGATTTCTTACATGAATCTTCAGTTAGACTCAGTAATTAGCAAAATTACAGCATTTTCTGATTTCTGTTGTTGAAGTGGAGAAAATATATTAGTTATCCAACACTAAGCTCTGCAGCTCTTCTAACTATTGATTGATAAAGCTATTTGGATCATATGGTATAAAAGGGGAGAATATAACAAGCTTAGAATCAGTAATATGTCACTCAACACATCATATATATTTACACAATCAACATTGTCATCAGGGCCCCTGTTTAAAGCTGCTGAGTAATAGTTATTTACAGTATTTTGCCTCCCATCATGAAGAAACCAAATTCTCCTCTCCACTTTGCTAAACTCATCATGGCAGGAAATGAAATGCCTTACAGACACACCCGTCACTTTATCATTTCTAATATGTCTGCAGCTCGGCCTACTTTGCTGTTTATCACACTGATTCCTGGACTGACATCTGGTGAACGGCCAGTTGGGAGATGCGCCGTCGTGCCAGAAATGTGAGGATGGGATGATAAATGATGAGGTGGTCGCAGTTATTGAAGATAATTCACGAGGGGACGCGAGCTAAGAGCTGTCAGTCACGAAGCAGCCGGGGGTCCGCGGTGTCCGTGTTAGAGCCTTGTACCTCGCTGCATCAACAATGCATCATGCTGCCCAGGTTGACAGTAAAGACCCTCGTCTCAGGTGTTTTTATAATGTTCATCAAAATGAATACAGACTACCAGAATCACTTAAATAGCTTCAGCCTATTTCTTATATAAGACAAATCCCAAATAAGTGCTTCTGTTCTCATGTTCTGATAACCAAACCTCCAACCAAAGTAGCATTAAATAAGCTCAGGCACATACTTTACCCATGAGTCTGTAGTGGGCCATGCGTGACATAGTGTGTTTAAAACTAAGGACTGAAGCCAGCAGAGGCTTACAAGGACTTGCAGCAGCATATATTTATGAGCTTTTGTGCCCGGATCCTGCAACAAGTCTCCCCTCACCCCTGCCCTACTCTTAAAACCACAAGGGCCGGCAAAATTCTGGAACAACCTCCCTGTTGAAATTTCGACATGACTTCCATTAAATCTTCACCAGTAAAGCAAATTTTTATAGACTTCAGGAGGTCTTTGTAGATTGAACCTCATTCTCCTTGTGTTGTCACGTTTTCGTCTGTTGTACTTTGTGACAATTTTTAACTTTGTTCTGAAAAGTGCTGTATAGATAAAGTGTGTTCTCCCTATTATTTCCTTCCTCACAACCAAAAAGGCTGCATTCATAATCAACTTAATGTCCCAGAATTAAACCTGAAAGATAAATGATAAGCAAACACAGATGTCATAAAAATATTCAATTAATTTTCTTGTATAATAAAACCTAGTTTGAAGTTTGGTCTCAAGTACACACACTGTCTTGCATCATGGGCATGGAGATTCATTCTTGATCTTAAAAGTATATCTGTGGTTTTTCCAGTACTTTTTGACGCAGCCTTCTTCAGCAAATTAACCTTGATAAGGTGTGATAATCTATGATGATGATGATGATCTATCTACACTATGATCTCAGTACTGAAAAATGATCACGTGCTAACAGGTGGTTAGTTGTCCTCATCCAGTGCCCATTTGTAGAAAACCTAAATCAATAGGAAGGACTGTTTTTCCTTAAGACAACAGAGGGACCATTTGTTTATCATTTATATACATTTGTACCAGTCTATAATGTCAAGAACGATTTAATAACTCCATTGACTTTAGGACCATCGCTGACTTATGATTGGCTCTGTTGTGCCATGAAGTGAGGTAGGCCCTTCCTTTCAACACATGCCCTTGTTGGTTACTGAAGCCTATACTGACCGTAGAATCTCCTATTGGCTCATGTGAGGTGTCAATAAAAAGGTCAGAGCTCAGCAACCATTTTGATAGCAATGAATCAGCATATTTACATGCAAATGGGAGATATTGCATACAGTAAGCAGAGAAATATGAACATTTGAAACGATGCAACAGCCGCTTGTGGATATTTTTGGATTTAATAATGCGTTTGGACTAAATATTTTCACTGGATTTAAATTGTGTGGACCATTGGGAGTGTATGACTGTTTAAGAAACATTTTTGTTGGAAAATAATTGATCTGTGGGTTATCATAACGCATAATAGATGAGTTATAACTCTTTATTTGTTTTGTCTGACAGAAGTGTGCTGCGGTGGTTGTATCTTGAAGTGGTCTGCATCAATCGACTCTAATGACAGGTTGTATGAGCTCAGGCTTCAGACGTTCTGAATTTTCCTAAGTTTCCTATGTTTTTCTTCTATTTTGGCAACAAACTGACATCAGATTGTGAAGATTTCTTTATATGGTCACCTGCACCAGGCACGCTACTGCAAGTGCATACATTACATACACTGCTACATGTAGCTACATGCTAACATCAGCAAAACATGTAATCTTGGATGCTGATGTTGTTAATTGCTCCCCAATTTTGGATCATATTCTTTTATGCTTGTGCTTAGAAGCTTTAATTGGTAATTTTTCTCAATAAGAAGTGCTGCTATTGTCTGTCATTTCCCAGAGTGCAATGATGGTGCAGTGAGTCTGACATTATGAAAAACCCAGAAACACTGACCAATCAGAGTAGACCTGGCTTTCTTAGGAGGGGGGATTTAAAGAGATTGACACTAAAATTGATCGTCTCAGACAGAGGGTGAATACAGGTGTCCCAGCACAGACAGTATTAGGAAAATTAAGTATTTTTTGAACATTAAAGCATGTAAACATGTTCTAGTAGAAACTCAGAGTAGAAGTATGAACCTGAAAATGAGCATAATAGGTCCCCTTTAATTACCAGTGACTGAGCATCCTGATTCCAACTGCATCACAATGTGCTGAAAACCTTTCACTGATCAATAAATACATGAAGGTAATTAACCTGTCTGGGTATCCAAGTCTACAGGATGCTTTACATCTCAATGAGGTTTTCATAGAAAGTGTTTAGCAGCCATCCATAGCATAAGTGATTTGTGTTTAATGGGTTTAACCATGAAAAAACACCTTTTATGTTATGGTGTAGTCCTCTCTCTGAGCTTGATGTGCAATTTGTATTTCAATCAACATTGTATTCTTGATTTCATACACATATTGAAGTGTCATGTGCGTTTTCCATAGTGTTTCAATGAATGAATGAGCAAACAACCACAGGGGGTCTGTGCCCATTTTCTTCCCAAGCAGAGTCATTATCTTGCAAACAAGGATGCTAATAAGATGGATAAGCATCCCTCTCTGCAGCCCGCTTGTGATATGGATGCTGCTAATTAGTCCCTTCTTACATCCTCGCTGTGATAATGACCTGCGAGTGACTGGACACACTTCCTCTCATATTCTCCCTGTTTCTCACACACACACACACACACACACACACACACACACACACACGCACACACACGTACCCCTCTCCCTCCCTGTTTCTGTGCTACCTGTGGTGCCAGCTCTCCATTGGTGATGATTTTAGCAATCAGGCTCCACTTTCTGTTGCTTGTGGCGTTGTGGATCATCTTCTTCCTCAACAGCTCGCCCACGGACACATACTGGAAGCCGTAGCGCTCGGCAATCTTCAGGCTCTGTGTTCCTTTGCCGCTGCCAGGGCCACCTAGGCACAGAAGGAGAGCTGTTGATGTTTTGGGAGAGATTTGGTGTGTGAAATGTGTCTGTGTGAGTGTGAAACATTATGCGTGTGGGTGTGTTAGCGTAGGCGCACGTGTGTATTAGTGAGAGAAACCCGGCCTATGTGAGACTGTGTGTGTGTGCGTGCATGGCTCTGCTTGTGTTTGCACATTTGCGACTGAGTGTGTCTGACTGCGTGACTGTGTGTAATTGCTTGTGTGTGTTTTGCGGGGGAGAAGAAGGGCATGTGGGGGGGGTGGATGAGACAAACAGGTATGTGTGAACCTCCTACATTTGCTACCAAATCCTCTTCATTTTGATCTCCATATTTCAAAGGAAAGAAGGATGTGTTAGCTTGATGCTGGATAGTTTGGTAACATTATAATGAATATATATCACGATAGCTACTGTTTTAACATCAGTGCAACAGAATTTTACACATAACGATATCATTATTCCTCAAAAAGTAAAAAATATATGTCAAAACCACATTTTGGAATCAAGGGAAGATAGTTATTAGCAATGACGTCTTAATGGTGCAAAATGGACATACTATACAAGCTGTCAATTTTTGAGAGGCCTGAATAATTGCCTGTAAAAGCCATCTGACACCCTGAATGCTGCTTTTACTGAATTTCATTCCAGGATTTTAGAAATGCTACTGTTACCACAGAAATATCAACTGCTCCAAAAATGACTCCTGGTTGAAAGCCCGGCCAGAGTGAAGTGAAATTAGTCGGAGAACAAAGCTGTGTGGGTAATTTATTCTATCATAGTGTTGCTATCGGAAATGATTTCTTTTAGGGAAGAGGAAAAGAGTGTCCGCCCAAAAGTAAAAAAAAAACATTACAAATCAGAGACAGCCAAGTTTCAATGAAGTAACTGTAATGTGTCCCACAACTGAATTCCAAGTGATGCTCTCAATTGTGTAAAAGGTACAGTGTACTTACAGTTGGGGTTAATGAGAGACATTTTGACTTGTCGTAGTAAGAAAAGAACAGCAATGTCTATTTCCAGAAATCATGACCTGGTTACTCAAGATAATCCACAGACCTTGTTGTGAGCAGTTTCATGTAGGAACTATATTCTTTGTAAGGAACTACACCCACTGACTGTATAACTGCACAGAAGGAAGTGTGCATCTACTACTAGCTCACCTAGCACCACTGAGCATGTAAACATTACAGCTCAGCCGAGGAGGACATCATTAATGTTTACATCTTGCACTGTTATGAGCACGAGCCTGTCATCCATGAGTAGATGCACGCTTCCTTCTAAGTGATATCTGTTAGTAGGTGTAGTTTGATAGAAAGAAAATAGTTCCTACATTAAACTGCTCACAACAAGGTCTGTGGATTATCTTGAGTAATTGGGTCATGATTTCTGGAAAGAGACATTGCTGTTGAGTTTTTCAAATGTATTTTTTTGGCTCTTTGAGCACCACAAGCTGAGTGCCATCTAGTTCCATTACATTGGAGAGAAGGCAGACATCGTTACAGGTGATATCTCCAACAGTCAGCAACTTGAACCAAAATAATCTAGACTGATAAGTACCACTACAGGTAAGACCAAAAATATGTAGTTTTAATTTAGTGGTGAACTGTCCCTTTAACAATTTCCCACTGAGAATTATGAGCCATACACAATGCAGCCATTATTTATGTTTCTAACGTTTTGTCTATGATCATTATGTCTTATGAAAAAAAGTCTCAGATTTAACAAAATATCCTCGTCATGCAGAAAAGAGCCAATAAAGTGAAAGTTTTGCAATACAAGGAAGGAGTAGGAGGATCAGAGGGAAACTATAATATGTATTCAGCAAATGAGCACTTTATCTCACATCTGAGTATTTCGTAATGTTCGACCCGCCCTCCTCCTCCTCCTCCTCCTCCTCCTGACCACATGAGTGTTCGTCAGTCTGTCACTCTCTCTCTGCAAACCTGTCAGGCAAAACATTTGCCACGATTCACCAACAAGATGACAGCTGCTGCCATCCTGTTTTTCCCTTTAAAATGGGGCACAATGTGCTCACAAAGACGAGATAGAAACTGGCTTTGTGCTGCGAGGACAAATAACTATCATCCACACTGCAGACAGACAGAGTGAACATCCCAGGTAGACACAAAAAATCAAAACATGCTGAAGCAGATGGGCTGTCAGAGGGGTTTTTAGGAGCTTTTAACCGATATCCAAGTCCTTTTCTTGCTTTTTTTAAAAACCTTAGATAAACTATTTTCAAGAGGGTTTATAAATAGCAGCACTTATTCAGCCCAGCTTGACCAGTGTCATTACTCTCATCTTATATACAGCTGCCATGCTTAGTTCATATGATTAATGAAAGTATTTGACGGGTTAATGCAGGCCCATCAAGGAAATCAGATTAGGAGTGCGTGAGTGCCTAACACAGTGAGTGACATGCAACAAGATCTCCCTGCTGATACCAACAGAGAGAGGTGGGGCTACTTTCAAAATACCAGGAAAAACACACTGCAAGTATACACACACAAACACACACACACACACACACACACACACACATACACACACACTCCCTGACTCTTTGATTCCCTGCCAGGCCATTTATTTTTAGATCATCAGCGAGGCAAATATAAACTTTGTATTTTTGTTGCGCTTTTTATATAAATGCATAAAGCTCTGATCAGAGGCAGTAAATAGACACACAGCGTCTTTCTATGTTTACACATAAAAGGATCTTTACTGCCTCGTCTTATCTAATGGAAAACATGACTCAGCAGGAATCCAGATCTACAGCAGCAGATGAGGATGCATTTTTGCCCCAAACTTTCCTCATTCTTGTGTTATGTAAGCAGATGAGCAGATATTTATAGTTTGAATGTTTGTGTTTCTTGTGTACTGGTCCTTTACCAATGACGAGGATGACTTTGGGTCGTGGTCTGGATGGATCAAACACCTCGTACTCCTCTATGAGCTCCGCCGTCTCCGACAGGTCTGAGTCGCTCTCGATGGAAAACTGGCTGATGGGAGGGAGGCGGTCATAACGTCTGTAGGGGAAATTGGGACTGTCGGGCAACACTGAAACACACACACACATACACACAAAGGTAGAGATGAGAATCGATTCGTCTGCTTTTTTTGTGGTGTATTAGTAAAAAAACTATTTTATTCCAGAGCCTGAAGCTCACTATTAAAACATCTTAATTATCATCATCACTTACTGTCAGTCACTTCAAAGGTGCAGATGTCACATTATTTCATAAGCTGCTAATCCCATTTCAGAACCCCCAAAAAAAGTCATGCCTCCTTTAACAATCAAACAGTGGATCTGAGATGAAACCGTCTTAGTGTGATGAATTCAATGCTTCATCCAGTTTAGTAATTATACAGCTGTCTCTGCTGATGAAAGCACTGATTGTAACACATTTAACAAAGACAGAAATCATTATTGCATGCTGTTCCAGGGGAGAAAAGCTGCTATAATTTACATACAGAACCAATATTGTCTCTTTACACGGCATTATAGGGATGAGAATGGTATTGATCATGCAGTGACAATACGTATACCATAGAGGTTTTGCTCAAACTAAATGGAACAGAGATGCTGTTTTATGCAAACAACTTAGCAAAACACACAGAAGGTTGCAAATAACAACTGATGCTGCCTCACCTGCAGGAATCTACAGGCTTACTTTTGCCCTTTTAACATTTTTAACACCCTGATCAGTCAATCAGACCGAGATAGGAATAACTTAGGAGGCGAGAGCAGCCTTCCCCTTTCGCAGACGTCACGAAACACGGCAGATTGGAGCTTCAGCTTTCAGCCAAGAGGGGAATTGCGGGACAGGAAAATCTCTCTCTCTGATTAGACTGAAGTTCCCAGCAGCTCAACACTGCAGCTGGCAAAGCTTCCAGGCATCTTTACCAACATATTAAGAGGAGTGAGATGAATCTGAATTACTCAGAGCAGTCTGCCCTCAATACTTTTTAACAGTGAAGATTTCTCTTTTAGAAAAAAATATCTGCTCATGCTTGCATTGTTCTGTGGAGTGAGTGATTGGCCTGTAAGCTGCTCACACACATGACTCTATTCTACGTTATTCTCATGGTAGACCCTGTGGACATTGCTGCCATGCTTCATCAAACAAAGACATATATGTTTGAATTTAAAATAGAGCTAGTAATACAATGCACACAGAAAATGTAATTAGCATATGACAGCCATAGCATGCAAAATACATTTGCATCTTCCTACATTGGTTAGACATGCTGGAACCCACAGCTGGAATCTATAACTGATGATTAGAGAGCCTTTTCTTGTATTTTCATTCATGTGAATGATTAACTACATGTTCATCTGTCTTTTACTGCACTGTACCAGGCTACCACAGGTCAGTGAAGGCAGCACTGGCATTTTTAAGGCTGAGCTCTGTACTTTGGAGTCTGTTTTTGAACATGATAGGTTTGACAGGTTTAGGAGGTGGTAGATGGTGGTTTGTTTGTGGGTGCTCTGGTGTCTGAACAAACGCTTCTGGAACTTTTTGTAAACTACATCCATCTGAGAGTATAGATGTACACAGCTGCGCTTCACACTGTTGCTGCAGAAAGGAAAGCCACCCATCTCAATACGACCTAAAAATCCTCCACTGCTAGGGTTTCTGAGAGTGGCACAAACGTTTTAACAATGTATCTACAATGGGGCTCATGAGGGTACAGTACAAATGTCAACACTCGCTGTTCAAACAGTGAGCCAGTTGTGATTGTGTAGGAGAGGAAGATGTTCTGCTGCCAGCATCCTTAGGGAGAAGCCAAAAGAATATTTGCCTCCCAAAAAACAACATACTGGACTAAAGCTGAGAATCCAAGACATAGAATTACAATTATTTTCACTATTGATTAATCTCAGTGAATTATTTAGTCTTAAAATATTATAAATTAGTCATAAGTTATACGTTTTTAAGAGCCTGATGTGATGTCTTTAAACGTCTAAACCCTAAAGAAATGGCATTTTCTATCATATAAAACAAACTAAAGCAGGAAATCTTCACATTTAAGAGGCTGGAACCAGCAAAGTTTGGCATTTAATGAAATATAACTTAAAATTATTGCTGATTTATTATCTGTTGATTAACTTATTGTTTCGGCTCTGATGTGCTTTGTTGTACTGTACTATCAGCATTCACTGCTCACCATTTCTGAAGAGGGACCTGCGTGACTGGCCGCCATTAAGAGGAGGGAGGGACTTCTTCTCCTGGCCCACAAAGGTATCCCACCGCACCTTGTCTGGTCCTCCGAGCTCCCTGGCTTTCTTCAGACAGCCCTCCAAGTAGTCGATGGGGTCGTCAGGCCGGTAGTACATCAGACCTGTCAGCAGGCTCTGGAGACAAACAGTGGAGGTGGACATGATGAGGCACAAAGGGAGAATAAGAGGGAGGAGATGCTTTCTCTGGCATCACTTCATCTTTCTTATGATGTGCTGTGGTGGTGATGGCCAGCCCACGTTTTAATGAGGTGAAGTTTTGAAGCGCAGATATGGTTGCCTTGGCTTGGCTCCACCGGGTAGAACAAACCATCTCATTTTGTCAGAAGCCCATGAAATAGGACTCAGGTCATCGGGGGTCTGCCTTTATTTGCCGGGCTGTTATTGTTGAGGAGGAACGCCAGCTTCTGTGATTAATGTGAGAATGAAGTCCATGCCAAAAAACACAAGTCAAGTGTATGTTTGTGTGACATTTGTCCTCAACAACCCCGAATGTTTTAAAACAATACCTTCCCCTGGGACTTCCTCCTTCATCTCCACCCTCCTCTCCAACAACTCCAACTCCAGCAGCAGCTTGAAAACACAAAGCTTCTCCCGACTGAAAACAATGTGATGTGCTTATTTGGTTGATGGATAATGACTGCACTTTCATGTGCGAAGCCGTGAAAATTACAGTGAAGTTACAACGATGATGATGATGATGATGATGTGTCACTTCACTGCTCAGTATAATTTGGACTGGCTGTAAATAAACATGCAGTGATTGCTTGCATACATTAGCTGCACCGCACTTGGGATTGTGTCTAATTAAGTGGATGAGCCAATTTACGTTTCCCTTGGGAATATAAACAATACTTCATATTATATTTCTGTCTGTGCTGCTTAATAGAGAGTTTATATTGTCTTTATTGCTCTTTATAACAAGCTTAACTTAATATTCAGATACAGACTTCATTAATTGTAAAATTTTAGGCACCTTCTCATACTTTATAGTAATTTTGTGTCTGTCTAACACCAATATGTGCAAAGGCTTTGGTTTTGTTTCAACACTGGGGGACACGCATATGAAACGCAGGGTTTGGGGGTCCTCTGCCAAAACATTTTGAGCATCACACATTTCATTTTCTATTTATGGTGCAATTGGCAAAATAGGAGTCCTCTGCTAATTTCATGCTTTCACTGGTGGAGACTAATGAACATGTTCTAAATATTGGTGTCCCCTGTGTCCCCCAGAAATCTGCACCTATGAATATATGGCCAATATTGCTTTAGTTGCTGCAATAATTGAGATAATTGAATGTTTTCTTTTAATGTTACAGTCTTCATTTTCATTTTTCATGTTAAAAGTATAAAGTCTCTGACTGAGAACATCTTCATCATCAGAATTATGAATCCATTTAAATTTTGCAGAGGATCTTTAATACAGTTTGACTAATGTGATTACACATTACCATACAAACAGTTTGAGGAAGCACTTTGTAAAATCAGCAGGGTTTCTGATTTAAACCACTATTTTAATCAAGTATGGTCTCAGAGAAGCGCGTATTCGCACCTTCATCAACAGTAACAAGATGTACACATCGCAAAGAGACATTCCCCGTCACTCTGACATCGATGAGCAACATGAATGTTTCTTTAAAAATGACACGGTCAAACCTGCACGTCTCATCTCATCCCCACAAAGCTCACACCAGCTCTCACCTCAAATAGTTGAGGTATCTCCCGCCGTGCGAGATACTCCTTGGCATCGTTGGTATTCATCTCCAGTCGGATTTCCTCTGAAATCACAACTTGTCCGGAGCGTGTTTTAGGTCTTCAGATGTCTCAGTGCCGTAAAGTATTCTTTCTGGGTTAACAACCGAGCTCCAGACAGTTTCCCCTCAGCGCATTGTTGCCTCGTGTCTGGACTTTACAACTGGATTCCTGCAGGCGATGCCACCGCGCCACCCTCCTCCTCCTCGGTGATGCGGATGCGCGGCTCGTCCGTCCTTCCCTCCTACAGCGCTCCGCTTCCAGTAGCACGCACCGTGTGTGCCTTGACGCTGGCACAGAGGTTGCGCGCTGTGCCAAATAACGCACGCGCCGCCTCTGCTTGGCGTTTTTCACACGGGTACAGTCAGCCTGGAAACTTGGTGTTTCTGTAACTAAAATAACAGTCAGATAATGATAGGCCTAGACATAGGTGTAGATAGGTGTGTGTGTGTGTGTGTCAGCCTACATAATTGGAACATTGCCCCCCCCCCAATGTTCAATTAATTAATTGTCAACCTCAACATTTTGACAGTATTTTAAAAGGTATTGCCATGTAATCATACTGACGAGACTTCTAACTCTTACTGCAGATGGAATTAGGTATAAGAATACATGTCTTCTCCGAGAGCACCACCTAAATAGAGACTTTCAATATGGCCTGTTGAAGTTTAATCTATATTTGTGAACGTGAGCTTCTCTCTCCCAAAGCCAGAAACCAGAGAAGTCAGTCTCAAACTCATGATGTCATCAAGTATAAAGTCTGGAGTTGCTTGATAGACGATGAATGCAAGCCTGATTTTGTGGACCCACGGGATGTTTTTATACCCAGCCCATATACTCAGAACATTCCCCTGGGTGTTCTCACTGTCATCTCTAACATCATTCCCAATTCATTTTCACGGAGCAGCTCCAGACTTTATATCCTATGACATCACAAATTTGAGTAGCTTTTGGATTTGGGAGGGAGTAGTTCATCATTACTAGTAAAATTCTTGTAGTTCCCCTTTAAGGTTTTTGTACTTGACAAATGTAATAAACTAATAAAAGCATGGCACTCCAAAATATGTGACAGACTGCATCACTGAGTGGTACAAACTAAAACAATGAAACCCTTCAGTGCAGCTAAATATAGCTGGGTGTATGTGTTTGGCTGCAGGTTCCACTTAAGTTGCATAACAATGTATAACTTTAGTTTGGGGCATGCATGTAAACAAACAGTTAAGAAGTTCAATGCCACTGGATCAAGCCTTTTTTAGGCAACACGGGAATAGGCCACTGGTTTGTCCCATAGGATTTGATCCTTATAGGCCACTAATCCTCTTGACAACTGGACAGCTGACTTTAAGTCTCCATGTTGGTTATATCAGAGAGCAACTTTAGATTAGTTCTGTGACATCAGTGTGTTAGAATGTCTGGATCACTACATCTGAATAACATTTCACGCATAACCATGAATCACTGCCGAGGACAAAACAGCCTGACAGGGAAATGCTAATTTATGGATTGAAAATGGAATAATGATTAGATTTATATCAGAAGAACTGTTCTGTTGGAGCGCTACCCTTGCCTTTTCATTTTCTAATGTGATGCATGAGAAGGGCATTACTATGATGAGAAAGGGGAGTGATGCTGCGGGTCAAAAAACAACAGAAGTAAAAGACGTCTGGAGGATTGAAGCGGATGGCAGACCTGCAAAGGCACTCTGCTTTGTGTCAAGACTGATTTTGTTGTTGCCTTTTCCAGCAGTCCCTGTGTTCGCTGCATTGTAATGTTACATGAGAATTGCATGAAGGCTTTGTTTTTTTCATAGCTCCACCTTACACTGCAGGGCTCCCAGAGGCTCCCTCAGCAGTGACATGACATGCACTTTGACATCTGCTGCCTGTGAAATACATGTCACCTCTCATTATGAGGGCCCTTACCAGTGAACTGGAGAGGGCATTTGAATATGAAGCTGTCAGGATCACTTGATGTCTAATCTGCTATTATCATCTGCCATATATGACCAAAAAATGATTCACTGAATTAAACACGCAGTCATCTGTGTACTCTAACCCCTTAAGTGTCTTACTTAAAAAAGAATCGCCACTTAATGCAAAACCACTCAAAGAAACACCAACAAATCATTGCAATACCACAGTGAAACATGCCAAAAAGCCATTAAAAGCCATTAACCAAAAAGAGGTAATAGAGGGAGAGGGAGACATGACTCCATAGCAGGCTGGATGAAGACATTGCAGGGATATGAATACATTTGTTACAGCAGAAATCAAATAACACAGTGAGATCCAATTTGCAAGTCCATAAAATCATTGTCTCATGATATCCCATCGAGTGCCTCTAAAACAACCCATATGCACAGTCACTGTTATTAATTATAATCTTGGTTCTCTCGATATTAACTTTGAAATCAATTCGTTTACTCCTACATCAATTCAGTATCTGTCTCTTTAACGATAAGCCACACATGCACAAGCAGCATCATCTGATAACCGCATAGAGCTCCTGCGAATAGTCACTCTCAGCAGTCTTGTCAGCATGTATCCACCAATATTAAGTATGAAGTTAATTAAAACACAATAATTATAATTACATAATTATTATAATTACAATAATAAATTTCATATTTTCCACAAAAAGATAACATGATAACAATGTAGTTTTTGTTTTTTAGTTAGCATTTGTGAATTAAATTGTAGCAATGCCCACATTTCCCATTATCATCCCATTGGCGGTAATTTGCCTTCATTAATATTGAATATGAATTGTAATTGTGAAATGTCAATAAGTGAATGATTTTGTGTTTCACTCAAGAAAGGTTCTTATCACTGTAAGTTTTGCATTAATAGTGATTTACTTATTTGTAGTTCTTTCCCATATGAAATTAAGATGTGTGAAGTTAATTTGTTTTCAGCATGTATTATGTAAATATCTGTGATTTATGTTTTTATTTCTCCCCTGCAAAAGATCTGAACAGGCTATAATATATAGGCTCTTTCTGATATACTAGGGAGGTTATATAATTTCTATGAGCATGTACAACAGTAGAGCAAAAGGAAATTTTCTCCAGACTCAATTTTTTAGTTGGGAAACAATCAATTGATCACAAAATGGACAGTGTTGTATAATGTACAGTATACGTCAGTGACATCTTTAAATAGACATGATGTACAAGCTCAGTCATAAAATGTGTTTGCATATGACTTTGAGGCAGAGCAGCTTACTGTGTGACCTTCACATGCCATTTTTTCTACCAGTTAAAAATTGATGTTGGGTCCATCCACATTATTCATCAACCGAAGCTTTTATTTTGACACACTAACCGGAAGCACTAGCTGGGCGGAGCCACCGCTGTTCACTTCCTTGATGCACACAGCTAACAGTGCTGCACAATGAAAATACTCACGTTACTGAGCCTGTTTTCCCCATTCTTATCAGCGAACGGCGTTAACATTGAGGTGAGTATGTATTCTTTCGCATGCAGCAGTGAATATCCCGATATTTATTTGTTTAATGTTGAATTTTACCTTAAATGTCTCTCCTATGTTAGCCCTATGTGCTGTCATGCTAGCTGTCATGATGTTGAGTATTGTTGCTTGCACGAGCCGAAACTAGGTTTAAAAAAACGTTTATCTATTCATTTTCCTCCACTTGTTTCTCAGTATAGCGCAGGGCAGTTCTTCAGCAGTGGTCACACTAACAACTGGGCTGTTCTGGTGAGTATTCGTTCATTTATTTAACCGTCACATCTTTAGCTGAGTATATGCTAATTGGGTTTTTGCTTTGCATAGGTGTGTACATCCAGATTTTGGTTCAACTACCGTCATGTGGCCAATACTTTGTCCGTCTACAGAAGTGTTAAGAGGCTGGGCATTCCTGACAGGTAACTGTCGTACAATGTGTATCATTCTTAGGTCTAAACTATTGTGTCATCTCCAGATATTTAATGGTGATAATAATCTGCAGCTAGACACAAGCATTGAATTATAAATAGTTATGAAGGGTTGAGTTGATATAAGCCTTTTCCCATGGTTATGGTGTCCTGACATTGCAACTACTGATATGTTGGAGGCTGCTAAACACTAGAAGGATAAATTACAATTGTATTTTCTTTCTGTGTGACTGCAGGTGTATTGTTGTTGTAGTGGTGGTGACAGAAGGGATGAACTAACATTACATACATTGTGAGGGACCAGTTAGAATACCAGCAGTACATGTCCATTAACACAAAATAAGAAGCAGTTTATAAAGCTCTTCCTCAGTATGCAATGTTCAAACACTTCTGGCTCCTCTTCTTTAAACAGAGTGGAGCTGTAGTGGTCAACAGGGGAGAGTTTGAGACGATTCAATTATGGGGATGTGGGGATGTTGAGGATACAGTAGACGTACCTCTGGGCTACCGGGAAGCTCCTGCTAGGGTGTCCGGAGCTAAGAGAACAAAGATGTATTATTTTTTTGTACAATGATAAACAAAATGCTTTGTCAGAGGTGATTTTCACCTTGGCTAGTATACAGCTAAAAGGAGCAGTGATCAGGTGCTTCTGGTGAAAAACATTAAGATTGTTATTGCTTTTAAAGCACACACTGGTCAAATGCTACTGCTTTTTATTGTTTAACATACACCGTCATTTATTGTTAACATTTTTTATTGGTTTCTCTGCACCAATACCAATATGAAACAGGATATGATGTGTCCTGAATCATTATTCTGTAAATTACCTGCTTTGTATCATGACAGATTATCAAGTACATACAATTTACTGTATATTACTGTATATTAGCAAAGTAAATTTGTGTTTTCACTCATTTACTGGCACCTATAGCTTAGGTGGGTCAGCTCTTAACTATAGTGTTGTTGGTTCAATCACTGGCTACTCCTGTTAACATGATGAAGTTGCATTGAGGAAAACACAATCATATTTCTTCCCATTTGTGTATGCGGAAAAAAAAAGTTTAAATCGCTTTGGACACAGACATGATGAGCAAAATGATTGTAATGTAACTAATCATCAACATAGAACTGAACATATGTTGAAACATTAGTGCAGCGTTTGTCTTTCCACATATTTTCTAATGATATAATGTAAAATGTCTTTGTCATTTTCTGTTTTTCCAGCCACATAGTTCTCATGCTGGCTGACGACATGGCCTGTAACCACAGAAACCCCAAACCTGCCACAGTGTTTAGCCACAAGAACATGGAGCTGAATGTGTACGGTGACGACGTGGAGGTAGACTACCGAGGGTATGAGGTCAGTTCCCATTTCAGTTGGACAGTTACACAACAGTTTGTCTCTTTAAAATCTATTTAAATCGAGTTTTAAAAATGCATCTTACTTTTTCATACATTTTCCACTGGCTTCAGGATTGTAATGTTTACATGTCAGTATCTTGAAAGCTGAATAGGCAGAACACTTCACAAGGATAAAAAAAATAACAACTCAATGTACATTTTTGTCACGCTGCATTTTGTTTTAGCCAGTTACTGTGGTTGTTCCACCATTTCCATTCACACTACTTAGGACAGTAACTGCTAATAACTTACACTGATACTCTTTGGTAATGTGGGATAGCTACCAGGGAAAACAAAAGCTCTATCCTCTTCCTGTGTTGGTTTCACAATGGTTGAAACACTTCTTTTGTACTGTATATTGAGCCGCGATTTTCTCTGGATATTGTACCTGTTGGCAGACAGAATTACATAGTGCATGCAGGCTTATAGGGAACCAGGGTAAACACTAATGTTGTCATTATTTTATGGCCGTTACCTTATGTGATCAACATGTACTTCATAATGATAAGTTAAAAGCCAAAAACTTGTCGACTTACACTTTAATGGAAAAGACATTGGTAAAGGGCTGTGTAAGACATGAAGCTTTTGGTTGATATATGTGATCTGTATGTCTTGCTACCTGTGCAGCACAGGTGGAGGTGTCACATACAATATTTCACCTGCTTTATAACAACTGAGTACTTTAAAGCATCACTTGTAGGCAGATATTATACAGGTGCCGCAGGGTATTAGAGGGTGTTATGGTCAACACTGTTTGTCTGGTGTTTGCTCTGTATGTTTATCAGGAAATGACTTGGTATCATTTGCATTCTCAAATAGAGGAGCACCCCAGTGTTTTGTTTGTTATTCTAAGGCAGAGTCCCAGTGGTGTACCCACTCTTTATCACAGTTTGATATTTACTTTGCTTTGTGCTGGTCCTTTAAATATGAATAAACACCTCACTGCTGAACCATGTTTGCGTTCAAACGGTAATCAAGTGCAAGAAAGATTGATAAAGATGAAGAGGGGTAAAAGAAGAAAAGAATACAATGAGTGATTGATTAATTAAAAGATAAGTAGAGCAGTTACGTAAAGTGCACCCCACTGATGCAGATGTTTGTGAAATGTGTTTGGTGAAAGTTTTTTGTTTTTTAAAGTTGCAATATAATCACTGTTTTATTAAACCTATGTGCATAGATTTAGAAGATGTTCATTGCATAATGTATCGCTTCTAATCCATCCTAGGTTACGAAAATCTTTTCCGTTTCATATCTTGTCCATGTTTTAGGTGACAGTGGAAAACTTCCTGCGTGTTTTGACTGGCAGGCTGCCACCCAGCACTCCACGCTCAAAACGCCTCCTCTCCGATGACCGCAGCAACATCCTCATATACCTTACAGGTAGTTAAAGGATCTACTCTCAAAATACTCCACTCACTCACTTTATGTTTAATTAATGTGCAGTAGACAGTAATAGGAGATTTTTTATGACTGAAGCATTGGCTTGTATGTATATTTCCTACAGTGTCTACACCTCTTATTTAGTTAAAGACGCCTTACATTTCTCAGAATGACTTTCAACAACCCAAAGAGACAAGATCAAAACATACACCTTTGGGTTTTCAGTTACATGTGAAGGCAAACAGAGCAGGAACAGTAAGGTTTGTTCCAGGAATTTTTCAGATCATGGTGCTTCTAGTCATCAGTTCAGTAAGTAGATGATGGCTTTAACAGCCACAGTAATTAAATATACAGTAAGGCAGTTGTTGTGAGAAATAGCACCTCTGCTCTTTTCCCTCAAAGGTTAATGTTACTTTAAATCAAGTTAATTAAGTTTTATGATTAAAACAGAGGTAGCTTTTGTTTCAAGTGATGTATCCCACCTCCTCTATAAAACGCTGCAGGAGGAAACCCCACATAGTAAGAGCAACAGTTTTTATTCTTGAGGAAAAAGGGATAGTTGTATGGTATTACTTAGATGGACTTGGTAGCTTGTCACTACATTGCATTTTGGGGTACTTTACTGGAATATATTGCTGCTTGTAGCTGCCTTTGAAATGAAGTTTACATTAACAGGTCATCTGTGTTTGGTTAGTCCTGTATGGGATTTAAAAGAATCTCCACAATACAACAAAATTGTCCCAGATGGTAAAATCACAAGAGGGAGTATTTGTTTCACCAGAATTGAAATGCAAAAGTCTAAAAATGGCAACCACAAAAAGGAAGCTGTAAATTTGTCACTTGCAACACTGACCATTATCTACCACATATTAGTAAGTTATAAAAAGCCCTTCACATCATGCAAGTTGTGTGTTTTCATACTGAAATATTAAGTTGTTATCAAACTTTTTCTTTATCTCATTTATCTGTGGCTGAGTGGAGCTACAATCCTTCAGTTGTTCCTCTCACAGAGTGCGTACTGTTGCCAGCCCTTTGCATGTTCATCTTGTTATTTTCCATTCTGTATCATATTTTTGCATCATGAATCAGAGATTAATGAATTATTAATAATATATGTGTGTTTAATAGGCCATGGCGGAAATGGCTTTCTGAAGTTCCAGGACTCCGAGGAGATAAGTAATGTGGAACTGGCCGATGCTTTTGAGCAGATGTGGCAGAAAAGAAGGTAAATAAACTAGAAAATGACATGAAACTGCGATGGAAAGGGTCTTTCTGAAGTAACATCAAATACTGCGTTTCTCCTACTGCAAGTCCACTTCACTTGGTCCTTCTGTCCCCTGAGGGCCAATTAGCTGTGGTGCATGCCAACAAGCATTTAATGGCATGAAACTTAAAAACCAGTAGATAGAAGATGGGTTTTTCCTTTTGTTTTGATGGTACAGACTTCTAATAGCTCTTTGCTCAAACACTACTATATTCATACATACATTTTTATTGCAGCAGAGTGTTTCTTCTAGTAGACTGAAGCTTTTGATTGTATTATTCCAGTGGGCTACCACACGTTGAATTTGTAATTGTAATATTAATAATTTAAATGATAAAAAATGATACATGGCACAGTGTATAGATATCATATTGCCATGCAAAAATATCACGATACTATGCTATATAGATTCTTTCCCCAACCTCATACATTCATATACATACAGTATGCTGCACAAGTGCATAGTGTTTGTTGATTGTCTCATTTACAACACTTGGATGCAGCAGTGCTTTGGTGCAGAACAGTGGGGTTTTCACTTAACTCAAAACAATGTTTTTCATTACCTCCTGTGCTTTAACTCCTCTTCTTGCTGCAGTGATGTAGAAGTGTACTCAGGGTCAGTGGTCAGTACATGGTGAAATTGCTGTTAGATGTGACTACAAATACAACAGAGCACACCTCTGTATCGCCCTTGGGTTTGTCAAAGGTGGAACAGACATTAAACTTGTGTAACGGAGCTTTTCTGGATAGAATTCCTTTACTTTTAAACTCAATGTATTTAGTTTCTAAGGAACTGCCTGGTGATTTAGGGCCTACTGCATACTCCTTAAGCCCCTTTCACACTGCCTGTTCAAGGTGGAAATGTTGCGCTGTTATTTGGCCTTGCTGTTCTGTATAAAGTGTGCGAACATGGAATCTGGGAACAGAGTTGTTTGTCGGATAAACCAGCAGTGGAGGCAGTAACTGAGCCAAAATAACATCTGTGTAAACGGGACAGCTAGCATGGTGGGACTATAGGCACGCACAGACACAGTAGATGCTGACATTGCAGTGTTACATGTCATACCTCTTTTTCCTTCACACCAGCATGGCATCTAAAATCAAACACTGGGGCAGCATTGTGCTGATGTTGTTTGGTTCAGTGCAAAGAAGCAAAGGTGGCACAATGGCAGATCTACTTTATGGCAGTATTTGAATTTGAATATTGTGAAAGGAGCCTCAATTCCCTAACCGCCTAGTATTACAGAGTAGTTTGGCTGGATGTGGTCAGAAGTGAGCTCTGTTGCACATGTAGCTACACCCAACAGTGTTGCCACAGGGGAACTGGCTCACTGGCCTTGTATGGCCTTGACAGTGCAATTTTGCTGTAATTTGCTTAAAGTGTGACACATAACCAACAATGTGTTTGGAAACTAAGCTGATGAAAGACTGTAAAACAAAACCAATGAGTGAAAAGACCCAGGAATGATGTGGTGTGGTCTGTTGATAACTCTCTGTGGGAGTCGCACTATGCAGGGGACCTTTCTCATAACACATATATATTTGGTCTTTTGTTAGTATAGAAATACTGATGATAAAAACTTTCTATAAACAAAATGAATTCTGTCAGTGTTAGTGCTGTTGAAACTGCCGTGAATGTGACTTGTTTCCCATCTATTAAACTAATGAAACACATCATACATCACTTTAACAGCAAGGGAATTACTGTTATACATATATTAACACAACTGCTTATGAAGGAGAGACTGTCTCTGTTTATAAATGGAATCGGTCGCCTTTTAAGGTGCTGCAGTGTTTAATTTGTGTGAATTGTGAGACACTAAATGAGCAAAAGCGGCTCTCTGTTACCAGCTCCTCTATTGTCCTCCAAACCTATCAATAGAGAGTCTGGGTTACAGTCAGGCCCCAGGCTGCTTGATAAAAGCTTAGTGACGCCAGCTTTGATGCTGATGTGATAATTGCTGGCTTCAACTGCCACATTACTGTCACCATAGAGACTTGGCCACCTCCCTTCATCGTCCCCAAACCACCGGTTCAGTTAAGTCAACTGGATATAAAAGTCTTATCATGTTTGACTAAACAACCGAGAGAAGTTAAAGGGAAATTTCTCTTTAATAGAGGAAGACAAAAAGGGAGGAAGGAGGAAAGGAGGGAGCAACTGAGGAAACTGTGTGCGTAGGTGTGTAAGAGGGGCAGAATGAAGCTGTTGGTTTTTCTTGGTCACCATGGCAACTGCAGTATGAGAGATGGTTAGGAGGTTTGTGTTATGCCAGGTTTTATTAGAGCAAATGGGCGAGTGATATGCCAGCTGTGTATTCTCTCAGCAGCCTTGTTTGAGAATGTACATAAGTGTGTGTGTGTGTGTATGTGTGTGTGTGTGTGTCTCCAGGTACAACGAGCTGCTCTTCATCATTGACACCTGTCAGGGCGCCTCCATGTATGAGAGGTTCTACTCTCCAAACCTCATGGCTTTGGCCAGCAGTCAAGTTGGAGAGGACTCCCTGTCGGTGAGTTACCTGCCCTCATATGGAAGAGAGAAATTAAAAATCATCAATCAGGCTGTCATGTTTACTAATAAGCAGTGTGATTTGATAACAGCGACTGGAGACTGAGCCTGGGCACTGTGTTCATTCCTACTCACCCCATAATACAGTCTGATGTGTCAAATTTCTGCAAATTGGAATATAATAGGTGATTTCATGTCCTGCTCTTTATTGGATTTGGATAAGTTTACCCTTAAGCAACCTGTTCACATTTTATACTTCTACTCCACTAGGTTGAAATATTGAACTTTTTACTCCACAACATTTAGTTGATAACTGAAGTTACTAGGGCTGGGCAATATTTTGATATTATATTGTGATATGAGACTAGATATCATCTTAGATTTTAGTATTGTAAGTTGTCTTCATGAAAATAACTTTGTGTCACATTTCCTGAAACTGTCATTACATTCTGAAAGAAGTACGAAATAGATAGTCTGGGAAAAATCATGCCCCTCCTACTCTTCCTACTGCCTCTTATGGCATTTGCTAGAATCTACTGTGGTGCAACCAAAACAACCAATCAGAGTCGAGGAGTCGCTCAGTGCAGCTGTCACACTGTCAAACTAGGCAGCGCTGATCAAATTTTAATCATAAATCTGTTACTGCATTGTCTATTTCTTGCCTCAAATGTCTAAAGAAACATATTGTAGTGTACTGTTCAGGTGTAAAATGAAAAAGTTTGTGACTCCGCCTCCATGTTGGAAACAAGATACCAAGCACCGCCCGAGGGCTGGACCAATATATCCACATTACTGATTATTGTTTATTAAAAATCTCATTGTGTAAACATTTTGTGAGCGCATAAATAAACAACTGTACTATATAGTGGCGTCCATATCGGTATTGAGGTATTTGGTCAAAAATATTGTGATGTTTGATTTTCTTAAGGTCACCCAGCCCTACTAGTTACTTTCCAGTTTCAGATAAATGCTCTAGTTACACAGTGGATGACGTTTAAGGTTGGCTGCAGCTGCCTTCTTGAAAGCCAGATGAGACTGCCTCCTTTCAGAACCTCTTCACTCCAAAATGTTTATTTACTGTAAAAAAAAAACTCATGACCTATGCTTAATCATCTAAATACTTTGGGTTTTAATGTCTTAAAATTGCGATCAGTTTTACCTTACTGCATACTCATTATAGTTCCCAGAAAACCTGACATGCTTTTTGACATGTGTCCTCTCTACATCACAGACTGACACCCATGTCACTTGGCTTTACACACTTTGCCTCACTGATTAGGGGTGAGGCAAAAGTGGCATAGTTTGAAGACAAGCTGTCAAAATATTTTCCTTTTGATGTCAGTACCTTTTGCTGTTGGTGCTATTTATTTCACCCAGACACCATCTCGGAATACAAAATAGGTGCTGTTCTTCAACCTACATCCACAAAACCACTGTGGAGTTTGAGGTGATGATAGTCACTCATTATGGCACCCTGCCACCACTAACCACTGATTAAATTCCCCCTTACAATAAAAACAAATGCACTTGCATTACTCTAATATTTCTGTTTAATTGGCAGCTATGGGTTGGCTTCCATTTATTAACCTGTTAGAGTGTCAAATTTCACTTATCAGACTTTGGTAGTACTTTAAAAATTACTCTGCACACTGTAATTACACATCAAAACAGAGTGACATTTTTGTTGTGATGTATCCTTTTGAAGGGAATCAGTTATTTGTGGGGGATGACATATGACTGTTGCCTTGTTTTGATAATCTAAAGAAAATACATTTCAGTGTGTCCAAAAATGTCACCAAAACGTCTATACTGCTAAGTGCTATTGGATATTGAATATTCGTATTCTTGTATTTCTAGCACCAGCCAGATTTGGCCATAGGAGTGCATTTGATGGACCGTTACACCTTCTACCTGCTGGAGTTCCTGGAGGACATCCACCCTGCAAGCAAAGCCAACATGAATGACCTGGTGAGGATGTGTGTGCCTTTTAACCAATGATCATGTGTAGCATAGAGCATAAGGTAATGTTTATTTTCATTATCAAATATAGAGAGACAGGGGCGTCGGTGGCTTAGTGGATAGAGCAGGCACCCCATGCACAAGGCTGTTGCTGCTGGCCCGGGTTTGACTCCAGCCTGTGGCCCCTTGCTGCATGTCACTCCCTCTCTCTCTCCTTCCTTCACACTTGACTGTCCTATCAATTAAAGGCTAAAATGCCCCAAAATATATCTTTAAAAAAAAAGACATAGACAGAGAAAAATGCCCATTACAGTTTCTAAGAGGCAGGAATGACTTACTGTGGCACACTGTGATGCATCTTGGAGAAGTGAGTCTTGCAGTGATTGTAATCTTGTGCTTGACACACACATCATGGAGTGGGTAGGGAACTTAGAAAGTAGCCTCCTCTCTGACATTGCCACCAGAGAATCCAACTTCACCCCCACAACATTACTGGCCGTGTGGGTAACTTTGTTGAGTCTGTTGAAGTCTGCTTCCCTCAACCTTCTGCCCCAGCATTGCAAACAGCAATTTTGTTTTCAGGCAGATGTTGAAGGACCTCAGCCTCCTTATAAAGGAGAGAAGACTCTGGCCCTTTTTGTGAAGGGCTTTGGTGTTTTTAGCTCAGTCCAGTTTATTTTCAGTGTACATTCCCAGGGACTTGTGGTACTCCACAATGTCCACACTGACCACTAGGGTCACCAGTGCCTTTGTCCTCCTCAGATCCACAACCAGCAGCTTTTGTCTTTGTCATGCTGAGCTGTAAATGGTTCGGCTCAGGCCATGGGGCAAAGTTAAGGTCATCAAATCTTTTGAAAACATTTTTACTGGATAAATAAGTAGTGGTAATTGGATTGACTACTCAATTCAGCTCTAGAGAACCATGCACACCTATATACACTAGTGTAGTGCTCATTTCCTATTTGGAACAGGCTGATTGGTTGGCCTCTGGTGTTGCTGCTTGCAGCTTTCTAGAGAACCAATCATCCAAACAACTTCACACTTGACACCACACTTCCTTGGGTCTGAACAATACACCTGCCATGACACTGTTGAGTCCCCTAGCAATGCTGGGGTACATGTGTCATTTGCTAACAGCTAGCTACGTGGGACCAGGTTAGATCCAGAAACAAAAGCATTCAATCTGAAAGTTACATTAATGATGCTTGAAATGTCTGAGTTTGCTGCAGGGCAACATTTCCCATCTCCCTTTCTTCATCTGTTGCTAAAGCACTGTAGTGAGGAATGAAGAGTGAGCTGTACCCAGCATGCTGTTCGACAGTGTTACAGCTAATAGGGGTCTTCTCTTCATACACTACACAGTGTGTAATTAACACACTACAAATAGATATATTCTGTTGATACATACAGTACATAGAAACCAACAGAGGCTTTTTTCCGTATTAGTTAGATGTCAACTCTGCATACACTATTGAGTTCTATATAAGTGAACATGCTGCTACCTGGTATAACACATAGGCGTGCCTGTACACATTTAAGCAGTATAAGTTTGTTTTATATAAACACTTAACACAAAAATAGTGTTTTCTCTGTTACTTAGTGTTTACTTAAAGCTACAGTTTGCACCCCTGTTCACTTCCAAGGAGTCAGAATACAAAAATACTGAAAATTTACATGATTAAATGACAAATCATATGTCTAAACTATTAAACTAAAACAATAGATAACAAATCTGATGATAATTAATTGTATCAGTTAGTTATATAAGCAAAAATGTCAAATATTGACTGGATCTCAAATGGTTTTATAGGTTTTATACCATAGTTAGTACTTCACACTAAGTTGATTATCAGTAGATTTATGTCAGACAACACAAGAAATTTGAAGACCTCAGTTTAGGTTCTGAGAAAATGGGATTGATTAATTGATTAACCAAAAAATATAATTGTTAGATTATCATTTTAAGATAATTCTCGGTTGATTAAAAGGGTATCCCTGCAGGAATCCATTTTTTGTGGCCTGTGGCACAGTGATTCTGTTCCAAAGCATTTCAGCTTTGATACCTAAAATATTGAGACAGTTATCTGTCCTGCCATGCCCTCCTCCTCTGTCTGCTGTTATGACGTTTCTGGTCCTAAAGGAGCCAGATAAAAGTCACCCAGGACTCTGCACTTGAAGCAGAATGTCTGATATTGTGGTAAGGTTGTTGGCCTTTTGACACATGACGTTGGTGATGGTGAGTACATGCTGCTCCGGGCCACGGCTCAATCTCAGCAGCACCTCCCTTTTCATCTTTTACACTCCTGCAGAGATCCACTGGCCCCAGGGACCACAGCTCCCCACTGCCACCCACCCCACCTCCCAGTCAAAACACCTTAAATCCTTACTCCTGCACTAAGTCCCACCTAAATCAATGTGCTCTGACTAATGCTTATTATTCTTTCCAACTTTACTGATTCTGGAGATGCGCTCTTTGTTCTAGAGCTATTCTGTGGAATTAAGGATCGATACTATGGATTTCCCGGACGAGTCCACCAAGTTTTTTTTTTTTTTTAATCCAAGCTGCAAAGGCTTGCCCTTTGATGAGACAGAAATTGCCTCCACCTTCCCAACAATACCCTCCACTAGTCTTGTGTTTTTCAAGTCCTCTTTTACTGATAGAGATAACGTTCACCTCAATTTAATGATTTTCTTTTCTTTTCAAATGGAGAGCACAGTTGGACAACTGTGCGATGAATCGCACACTTAAGTGGCTTAAACCACAAGTGGTCACACACCAGGCGCTGAAAGATTTGTAATTGACATCGACATGTACAAATGTCATGCTCCTTGCCTCTAATCTTCTTCAAACCCTTTTGCATATTTTGGCACCTCCCACTGCAGCTTCAGCCACGTTTAATGCAGCTGGTTACTATCTGTGGTGTTATGAAAAGTAGGAGACCCAAACTCTTTAACACAGTCTGAGTATTCAAATCCCCTCTCTCCTGTTATTAATGCTTTTATCTAAAGCTCCTGGCTGCACCATAAGTCGATGTTTACAGTATTTACATATTAAGAATAATTTATTGAGTGGATGGCTCTAACCTGAATAAAGCCCCCAAACTTTAGCTGTTTGTGTGCTGTTTATCGCACCAGGTTACATATTTATAACGCACTGCTTGTGTTTTGTCTGCTTCCCCTTAGTTCAAAGTTTGTCCCAAGAGTCAGTGTGTGTCCACACCAGGCCACCGCACTGACCTTTTCCTGAGGGACCCAGGAAGTGTGCTCATCACAGACTTCTTTGGTAGCGTGCGCAAAGTGGAGATCACCACGGAAACCATCAACTTGACCGACCCCATCAAGCAGGCGGAGCAGAGGTAAGCTAAGTTTCTTTCCTTGTTTTTGTCGTTAGTGTCATGTTTTCATTCAGCTTTATTTTTTTACATGACAATAATTATAATATGGATAGCAGCTTTTGAGACATAGAAACATACCCTTTGATAAGCCAATATCTTTCCTCTGCAGGCTCTTAAGCCAGAGGTAGACTTGGTTTTAACTACCTGTTTGGAGTGATGGATTGTGTTCAAAATGCACTGCTAGTATTAAGTATGACGTAAAATTGAGTATGTAGTGTGCTGACACTGCATAGTATGTGGATTTTATGTACGCGAGACATGACTAGATGTATACTACATGAGCAGAAAGTACAAGACGTGAGCTTAATGGACATACTAAACTGCCCCACAATGCATTGCATCTCTTAAAATTAGTGCAACGGCAGAGATCTAAAGCTAGGAAAGAGGTGTTAATATGTCACTGTATTAAGTTTAAATATTTCTATAGACAGAAAGTAACTATGTAGATTCCTTACATGGAATTTGACAATGTTCTGGGACATTTGTGGAGATGTGAGAGCAGCTGGCCAATTTAGACAGGCCAACTGTTATGTGATCCAGTCATGTTGCCTGTGTGTACTTCTGTGTGAACAGTCTGTTGGTAATGGCATACTTAATTGTTTATTTAGTAGTACATACAGACATGCTTTATACATACCATCTACGATGGTGCCGCTGTTGGCTTTCCTGCCATCATCTGCAGGGATGTCAGAATTAAAAATACAGGAACCTGTTTGAGTGTCGCCATGTTTATTGTTTACATCATACAAATTTAAATGCTCTGTACGGTCTAAGTTCTCTGGTATGTCCTCTTGTACATGTATAGTACATAGGCAAGTGTGTGAACTTTTCCATTCATGACACAACAGGTTGTCTACATGAACTTGTGGTTAAAAACCAGGTTTATCTCAGCCTTTAAACCTAAGACCTGACCTACGAAAGGTAGACCAGCCTTTTCATTGAAGGCCATTTGGAACAATCTGCCACTTCCAACAAGGCTTGACAAATTTGTTTCTGCTTTTAAAGGGAAATTTCGGTTTATTTCAACCTGTCTCCTATCGTCCTAAATTTGTTTCAAGTGACTAGTGACATAAAAATAATAGTTAGCATGTTAGCTGTTAGCCTAGATACAGCCGGGGCGCATAGTAGTGTCAGACCTGTTAAAACGAACGGGCAAACTTCAAGTGCAAAGTTAGTCCACTAAACAAGCTTTTTTTCCACAAAGACCGCCTCATATCGTTCGGATAAATGTCAGAGAACATATAGAAAACGACATGTAAACATGTTGTCTTACCTTACCGGTGTGCTGCCATGTTTGTTTACCATCTAGCTCTGATTTCCAAAGTGCGGCCGAAATATATCTCACCAGCTCTAGATAAAGCCCAGCTGGATACTACTCCAGGTGGAGGTGTCTCGTCCTTGGTCACATCCAGACCTTGAAAATAAGGCTGCAACCGGTCCCATTCCTTGCAACAGAGGCATTCCTCTTCTGTGGGCACTGGGGCACAGCATTCACAGGTACACCACCAATCTCCAGAGCTACGCAGCCTTGCAGCAGCCATTCCTCCTCTCCCATCCTCTACCTGTTGTGCCTCTCTCTCTCTCCTCCTCCGTTCTTCAATTTCACAAAGCTCTTCGTCAGTGTATTCTGGCTCAAATAAATAAGGGTGGCCATCAAACTCTGCAAAATCAAATTCCTCCTCCACAAAGTCGAAGTCTGGCAAAAAGTCAGCCATTATTCTATAAATCTTTCATAAAATAAATGAATGAACTTTTCAGGCTACTGTCCGGTTCTGCCTTCCAGCTGTTGCCGCTTGTTCTTGTTAGATTTCAGGCACGGTATGAGATCACTGCTTGTTCTCGCGATATTTCGGCCGCGCTTTGGAAAGCAGAGCTACATAGTAAACAAACATGGCACCACACCGGTAAGGTAAGACAACACGTTTACATGTCGTTTTCTATATGTTCTCTGACATTTATCCTAATGATATGAGGCGGTCTTTGTGGAAAAAAAGCTTGCTTAGTGGACTAACTTTGCACTTGAAGTATGCCCGTTCACTTACGTTTTAACAGGTCTGACCCTACTATGCGCCCCGGCCGTATCTAGGCTAACGGCTAACATGCTAACTATTATTTTTATGTCAATTGTCACTTGAAACAAATTTAGGACGATAGGAGACAGGTTGAAATAAACCGAAATTTCCCTTTAAATATCTGTTAAAAATCTTTTTTTCTTCTTGATTCCTCTTTTTACAATGATATTTTTAAAGGCTAAATACAAGATACTCAAGGAAAGACATTATAATGCATAGCAAATGTCACTATAGTGCAAAGAATACCAGTCATCCTGATGAAAGTTAGTGTTACTTTTAGCTGTTAAGTGAAGTGATTTTTGAGGTGGATTAGGGACAGCCTGGATGTAAAAATCTTAACTGGGGTCAGCCTCTCTTAGTTTTAATTGGAGGGCTGCGGACCAAATTCGTTTTACATTTCATTCCCAACTTACCAGACTTTGATTTCTATTTAGAACATCTCTCATTAGTGATATTGATTTCTCCACTAATGATGTGTTGAGTGGTCGGTCCCTGGGAGAGTAAACCTCGCAGTGGATGTTGCTATGACTACCCTGTATGTAATTTAGCACCTGATTTTTAAGGCTGACCAATAACATGATTGTGCGAGGTAATAATATAGCTCTTTTAGATAGTATTTATAATCGGTACTGGCACTTAATGCTCTATTTCGCAGCAAAGTGAAGAATATAATTAGACATTTTCCTTTTCTGGCTTCAGGCTATAACTCAGTAACTCTTTGTAAGTGGCATTTAGGGAGCTACAGTGCATCTGATGTGTTATCTGTGGCACCACCCTGTGTTGAACTGGATAAAATGCATCCAGTGAAGTTCTTGGCATCAGGTTGACATATGCTGTGATAAATACATTTGGCCACTAGATGTCTGTAGAGAGCTGTCAGACTCTTACACAGCGTCAGCTCAGCATCCTCTGTGCTTGGTGACATACTGTTTACTTGCTCATATTAGCGCTCAGATACACTAATCCCATAATAAGGACAATCACCTGGAGTTTTAGGAAATGCGCAGCTAATTTACCAAAATGTAAACAGTCCCCCATATATTGACTCATTAAACTGTGGGGAAGGAATAAATCGCAGTGCTGTACAAACAAATGTGATTGAAATTAAAACTTTATTCCCGATTACACCCCCACTTCTATTAATTTCATTAAGATGGGATTTAATTGAGCCACAGGGAGGTGTCATACTGAAAGAATCTAATGTGGTTGGCTGCTAATTAGTAATTAGAGGCAATTGCCATACCGATTTTAGTCATCAGCTGTTTTGGCCTTAGGCAAGTTAGTCATTGCACACAACTTCCCCTATTACTTTATTATTGATTAGGGCCAACACATTAGGTCTACTGATCCCCCATGCAATGTAGAAACACACCACCAGCGTTATTGAACCGGCTGTTGCCCTAATTCAGTCCTAGAGAGAGAGACATTTTATCTCCAATTCTGATGTAAGAAACCAGCAATCCCCTGATTTATTTGATGTTTAATAGAGTCACGTTTACTGATGCAGCAGAGCAGTAGTTGTGTCTTTGTACTTTTAGGAATGATAGAAAACACCATTGTGAAAGGTTAAAGATATTAAGGAGGTTAACGACACTTTTCGTCTTTTTGTTTGTCACATTACAGTGTGTCGTTAGCATTAAGTGCCGGACAAGATTAATATTGCAAGGGGATGTGGGTGATCAAATATTTGCTGGCAAACTGAGAGGGAGGTTTGGTATACAATGATATTCTGCAGGAAAACCATGACTTTCATCACCACGGATGCTTATCAAATAATGTAAATTAATGTTATTATGTTTGGGAAGAACAGCAGTTTTCAAGGTGACAGTGTTGCTAGTGATAAATATGCACATAATAACACTTGAGCTATACAAAGGTAGATTAACCACATCAGAATCACCTGTGAAATGACATTAAAATAGCTTGTTTGATAATCTTTCAGTATTATGGTTTTATAATGCTCCAGTTTTCTTTTTTCTCTCATGATATGGGTTGACTGCTTGTTGTTGTCAACAAACTGCTATCTGTCAGGTTGGGAAAAAAAATCTCTATTTCCTCTAGTTACACAAAACTGAAATTGTGTGCTGAGTTGATGGATATTCAATAACAGAAATCCATTGTTATGAACACACATACAGAAATGTAAGACTTCAGTTATGGGAAAGACCAGAAATGCAGTAGGTAATTGGGACTGTAATTATTACTGGGGTATGGATTGTATGAAGTGTTAATTGATTAATTGATCCACAGAACAGTACTTTTACTATTTTGATGATCGATAAACCAAGAAAAAAGGCTGTCCGCTGGTTTCTGCTTCTCAAACATGAGGACTTGCTGCTTTTCTTTGTCATATATGATAGCAAACGGATTATCAATTCCAATGGGACACCTTAGGCTCTAATTAAAATGTGGATTTTTCACCTTTTCACAGTCAGTGAATAGAAAAAAATTATGTGCAGATTATCAGTACTGAAGTTAACCATTAGTTGTAGCCTTACCTACAGTTCTCATCCCACCTTCTATTAAAGAAATAAATCTCATATGGGTTGGGCTATTGTCCATAAAATCAGGACTGAACTCGGTTAAACCCTTTGCCAACAAATCTGGATCATCTCTAAAAAGCAATCACTAAGAAGGATCATTATGAGACCTCTGTCACGACACCACTGGTAAAATTAAATAATAGCGTTTCATAAGACCTGAAAATGGGTTGTACTGAGCTCTGCGTGTTCCCACGGAGAAAATATCACAGATGTTCTCTGTAACAAGCTGTTATTAAATATAGTGCTGCTGTAATCCACTTTTGTCAGTTCATTCGGCCACTCAGACAAGTGCAGCAGGATATTTAGAGAAGACGGGTACATGTGTGCTCAAGTGTGTAAGTCTCTTACTCATTCTCTTCTCTTGTTCACTCTTGTCCCTCTCTTGTTCTCTCTTCTCCTCTCACCCATCTCTAAACATCCGCTTTTTCCCTCAGAACAAGCGCCCCATTAAGTGAATTGCTCTTGATGGAGAGGACGTTTTAATGGACCCCCTCAATCCTCTTCATTATACATGGGCTTAACAGTGTAATGACATTGTGTAGTCACTCCCTCCCACCCATAGGTACTTGTTGACCAAAACATCATTGTCATCTTGTGGGTCACAAAGCTCCAAGGATAATGTCAATTATCAAATTAAAACTAAATTCATATCCCATTTGAGGAATAAAATACATGTAATATAATTAGTGACCTGTGGCGCTGAATAGAGTCCACAAAAACGACTTGGGTCATTAGTTGTGCAGATGTTAAAAGGAAATTTGTTTGACCTAAAGATGGCAGCTGGAGACAGCAGTGATATGGGAGCTGAAAGTGCGGGGAGGGGCAGTCACATCCATTAGAATCAGCTAAGTGGATTGAAAAATCCTCTCCAAAAATATCTCTTTATATGGAAAATAAAGTGGAAAGTGGTTTGAATTGAATTAGAGTTCATCTTTTGGGCTAAATGAAAAGGGGAGGGGGGTGGCGGTGAGACGTCGGTGCTCTCTGTGACATATTTCCAGTGGCAGAAAGAGCTTGGAGCACATAGAGGGCTCAGCAGGAGATCGCTTCTCTGCCTGCCAGCTTGGCCAGTTTTCTTCTGTCTGTGTTCCTGTCTGTCAGAGCAACTCCTGCACTACCACACAGACGTGGTGTGATGAGAGACGGGCAAAGAAATGGAGTTGAACAGAAAGGGGTAAAGACGGGAAAATAAAGAAGGAAGGGCAAGAGCGAGAAAGCCGGGGTGAAAGAATTTGAGCGAATGTAACTCAGAGGGAAGAAAAAAGAGAAAAAGGAGAACAGGTTGCTTCACACAGCAAGCGGTGGCTCACTGGGAGATGTGGCCCACTTTGTCAGCAGCTGTCTGACCTGAACTTTCTTTGATTAGACAAAGACAGCCACTCTGTCAAACCTCCACTCGACTGTGACCTTTAGCTGAGACTCTTCTTCCTGACTCTCAACTGTGATGTTGGAGACAAAACAGTCTTTCAAAAGAGGTACATGACGGAGGCATACAAACATGTCAAAACTGCCCATGGCAGCGGTGGCATATCGGTGGATCTAAGTCACTGTAAAAGGTTTGTTTAATGGCATGTTGACCGTTTTAAGATAAAATAAGAAAAGATAAGATAAACTTTATTTCTCTCAAGCAGCAATAGGAAGTGGAAAGAGTGCAAATATAAACACTGCAAATATAAAAGTAGAAGACGTAACAATAACCAATTAAAAATCCAAAATACACACAATACATATGATGCCAGCATCAGGTTAACAGTATGGATCATAGAAATATACACACAGGTTGAGATCAGTAGTGTTGCAAATAGATTCATATGTGTTTTCTCGAATCTATTGGTAGTGTAAGAGTTTTGTTTCTTTGCTTTTATGTTTATTTTTCCATATATATTTTTCTTGAAGCTCTAATAGTGCTTGCAAAATTTGGCATATCTAACTTTCACATTAAACAAAGTCAGTACAATATAACACAGAACATGGTTAACATATAAGAACACATTAGATATGTAGTAAAGAGTGCACTATGTGATTAAACAAAAAATAAAATTTAATTAAAAAAAAAAAAACGTTAAAAAAAATAACAGTATAGCTAGTAGCAATTCTAGACTGATCCTCTGGAGTTATCAGAGTCTTATCATTCGAATAGGTATGGACTTCCTCCAGAAAAGTGATGAAGACATTTTCCTTAATTCCTAAATTATATCCCTCAGAGCAAATCAGATATTTTTAGAAGTGTTGGGTACCTGACAAGTCATTTAGCTAATACGGTGCTGAAGGTGGTTCTGATCTCTTCCAGTGTTGTAGTTAAGTTTTAATTCATCACTTAGTGGCAAAGATTTCTAACACGGAGTAAAGCTGACACCAGAAAATAATGCTTTGGCCAAGTAGAGTAAGTCAGCTAGTAGTAGCCAGAAGGGGCCATTGCCAGCATAGCTTATATAGTAGTTGAATAAGGCCGGCAATATTTTATATCTCTATGACTGTCAACAAATCCCATGAAAAGACCAAAATCTATTGACTTGTCTGCTTAAACACATTCTTATTTCCAGATTGCTTGTTGCCCATTCATTCTAACTACTGTACAAATGTAAATATTTAAGAACAGTCACAGATATAAAGTTTCATTAAAAAAATGTAATTAAGCCAACAGCAGGCACTGTGGTGTTAGCAGAATAAAACAGGAGTTAATTTTGGATATGTTGGTGGTGCTATTTTCAGATGCGGTTTTGGTGCTCTAGTGAGTATTTACAGCAGCAGGATGGTGTTTGTGGGTTTGACTCAAAATAAACTACAGCGCCCATGTTCGTTGTTATGATGGAACATGTAACCCAGTGTGGCTCATTATGTTTTTTTAATTGCTTTTGGGCAACAATGGAAGCAGGACAGCTCTGTGACTAGTTTGATAACCAGTTTTGTGTCTGAAAGGTCACAGGTTTAATACATCTTGTCTCACATTAACTAACATAGATCCATCAACTGCCATGCAGTGACCTTTTTCTATGTCCTTGAGCAAGACACTGAACCTCAACTTAATTCATTAATTTAAGCCTCCATAGCTAGGAGCGTTTAATGCTTTACATGTAAATAGCTTTTTTCCTAACTCACTATTCACAGATGTTTTAGGGTCAGATTTCCTAAAGGAACGAAAGAGTCCCTTTTACTTTGAAAACTGAGCAGAGTTTTGTCCTTCATCAGGTTATTCGTCTTTGTGTACCGGCCTTGAACACAAGGATACGCACACAAAGTTTTCCAACCAAGTGCTTTTTCAGAAAAATGCGACTCAGAAGACACAAACTCTGATAGTCTGTTTGTTTCTCCAAAAACCCAAAAGTGATTAATCAAACCTTTAAAGACACCCTCCACACAAAAATGTGTTTTTCTTATGTTTATGTCCCCTAAAATGTCTGTCCTTAGTTGACTATGCTGACTTGTATCTGTGCAGAGTTGGTCATCAGAGAGTTCCTCTACTGAGGGGAGCGATGTCTGTGCTCTTCACTAAAATCTGAGATTCAAATGTACATTCAAATGTAGATTAGTTACGTCACTAAGTTAAAAGCCAATCACTAGTCCCTTTAAATTCCTTGTTCAAGGCGGTAATATTATTGCATTCTGTATAAAAGGTACAATCGCAGAATTAGGGACAGAGTTGTCTCGCCTCTGAGCTGGCATTGGAGGTAGTGACAGCACTGAAATGTGTCTGTATAATTGGGACAGCTGGCAAAATGGGATCAAGGGCAACATGGGTGCAATGTTTTAACCCCATGGTGTGTGACCCACTGAGAATGATTTGAAAGTAGCTTGTAGCAGCTAGCGGCTAACTCAAAAGGGAAAAAAACTGCTGTCAAAAATGTTAGCAAATTGGGAAAACAATGCAGTCTGGGAGATACCTAACCTCCGAGCAGAGGACGAGATCAGCTGCCGTATAACAGAGATGGTACATGAATGTTAATGCCATGTTATGCCATTGTTATTGTTTATAAAGCCCTGCTGACACATATTTTATGTGATTCACTGGAGGCTGTGTTGCTAGGTTACATGTCACGCCTGTTGTGCCTCTTATGATGCTGCATTGCCGGAATGCTAAATAAAATCACACATGGGAGCGACATGATGCTGCTGTTGTTTGGTTCTGTGTAAAAATGCACAGGAGGCATGAAGGGAATTTGTAGTGGCCCTATAGTGTGATCATTGTGTAAAAAGGGAAACTGTCCAATACGGGAAACCTGTGACATCATAATTTTCTGCAGAAACACTTTTCTTGCCATTATTTAACGTCAATACTCAGGAACAGAAGAGGAGACAGTCAGTCAGACACTGAATTGGTGACAGTAATCTTGGTTGTCCATCTTGAAACTGGGGATTGTGTAGATCACCTGTGCTGCCAGTTCGGAAATTTGTGTGAAGCATTCATGTTTTCGCATATGTAGCCACTTTGCAGCAACATCCATATTTGGGGCATTGTCAACTCTCATAGCTACATATGAGTCGGACAGACAATTATGTGAACTGTAACTTGACTGGTTGGCTGAGGCATACAACTGCAAGGCAGTAATTGTAGTTTCCATTTGTCGTCTGTAGTTAAATACACAGGACAGGACACACATTTTGTCAAAATGGTTTTGACTCTCTCATAGTTCCGCAAGATGATTTTTTTTTAATTTATCAGGAAGTAAAAATGGATTTACTCGCATCAATTTGCGCTGCAGTCATTGACTCGGCTCTGAAATGGTCTGTTAATCACACACACACACACACCCTGTCTTCACACACACTGCCAACAGAAGAGCTGGAGTCTCTTCCTCTTCCTGACAGCCTTTCTTCATCACTGAATAATTGCATCCCACAAAACAAAAGCTGAATGTATCCAATGTGCAATTAACTTACTTCAGGTAAATGTTAAAAAATGCTGTTTTGTTTATGTCATGTCTTTCAGTCCTGTGAATGGAGAGCTGCAAAAAAAGACGTACTCGTATGTGGACCAGCTACCAGTGTCTGAGATCATTCATCAGGTAAGAGGCCGACACAAACACCAGGGTCACTTGGGGACACATTAAAACAACCATGAATTGGCCCATGTTGAGGCAATCCTGACATTTTTAACATCCATTTTATGTGGGATGGCATGTCGACTTTTTATTTTTGTCGCTTTTTTGTGTGGGGAGCCATTTATTTGGGCTCCTGTGTTTTTTGTAATTCGAAGTGTGTCCACGGCCTCGTCCTTAATTTGGACACAGAACAGAAAGTTATGTGCAACATCCACCAACAGATGTCTTTGTGTCGTTTCCATGGTGACAGCTCTAAGTGTGAAATGCAAGTGCCTCCTGGTCTCAGTGTGGAGGGGCCACCGTGAAATCCAGCAGAATGGATAGGCAGGATTGTGGCAAAGAATTGTGCATTCACCTCATTCCCAAATGGATTGCGGCTTTCACTCGGGCCGACCTTCACAAATGAACACCTATTCCTCCTCATTCCACCTTTAGAACGTGTGCTCTGCATTCAAAACAGACGGTCTTGGGTCCTCTGTATCACTCTTGTAAGATTTTCCATTAAGAGCCTATTAAAAATACTATTTCTATACTTCCCCTTCAGCTTGTGCCTTAGAAAAGTAAAGAAATCGCATTAATCTTTGCCACAGGTAAGAGCAGACATTAGTGGTGCTTACATTTGAGGTTCAGCTGCCTCTGAGAAACCCATACTTAAAAACACTAACATGACCATCGAGACAGAGTTATGCATTGCAGTATCCTTTCAGTAAGAGACTGTCAGAGAAGTGTTATTTCAACTCTGTAGTTATTGCTTCAGATGTAGCTGTATTAAATTGCACTTTGACAGCATTAACAAGTCACATTGAAAGCTGCACATAATACTGTGCTGAACACACATTTCTGTTAACAGTGTGTGTGGTGGGGGTTGTGTTGTGTTAGCAAAACTACTATTTAATGAACAGTTTAAAGAAAAAGTCTTCACACGTCGGCTGTCTTTCTCCCACGTACCGTGGGATATAGTAGTATATCTCTTAGGCTGCCCTTACTTTTATTTTAACAAAGGAAAAAAAAATATTGATTGTGTCCAAAAAGGGGGTCACTCATAGTGATGAATCCACAGCTGCTTTGTGTTTTAGTGTATTTCAGCTTATTGTTTTGGTTTTCTGCCCAGCTGTGTGTTTTGATTCTCTCTCAACATTGTTTTCAGCAGTAACAGGCAGCTGTTAAACCAATTGTACACTACCTGCTTAACACCACATAACGTACAGACAAAGTTAGTGACTAGCTGATGAACGTAGTGAAGCACTTAAGCTAGCAAGCCAAATACTTCCCTCAGGAGCTGTTTAGCAAAACAGACCAAAAAGAGAGTGGATATTGGATTTATATTTGCCAAGTGGACAAAAAAACATGACTCCAAATGAATAATAATCTTAGTCCGCCATAATACTGATAGCTAATATGTTCATCCTTTTATCAACATTAAAAGGATGATGATATAAAAATAATAGTCGATGCATCAATCTGCCAGTATCCCATGTAACAAAATTTGAGCGCCTCATCATTTTAACAAAGATACATGACAATTGTATTTTTTAAGAGTTGCGTCTTCCATACAGTAAGTTTTAAAAATAGAGCTGAACTATTTAATACAACGTCTTTACTCAGGAAAATGTGACAGTTGGGGTCAGGCAACATAGCTTCAAGAAGCTGACAGCAAGGACGACTGTATGTGATGGAAGGATACATTCACAATAACGTTTATAAATGAATAGCACAAAAAGTTACTTGGGGGATGCAAATACATTACAGAGATAAGATAAACAAAAGAACGTTAGCCTTGATATTTTCTGGCTAATGATAATTCATGTCTTCTTAAAAAATATGTCAGCAACATATCTGTCCCTTTCCAAATCTTACCACAGAAATTAGGAGGGAGCAAACCTGGGTAATGTTGGTGATCTGACATTAGAGCAACTCCTTTTGATATAGCTATTTGTTAGCTAGCATTTTGCTAACATTAGCTAACTGAACATTTGACTGTATACATGAATATGAGTCTATGAATATTGTGACATCAAAGTCAAGCTTTAACAGGCCCCAGTCACGTCTTTTAACCATCTTCAAAATGTGGTTTTCTTTTCAACATAGAGCCTAGCACATAGCATATCAAAGTATAAGAGGAAAGGGGAGACTGCTGGTTACCAAGCTTGCTCAGCTGTTATTGGAGCACAGAGCAAAAAGGGGCAGGCTAGGAAGTGCTGGCTGAGCTCTTTCTTTAAATGCATGAAACAAAAGTTGCTGAAGTGATGTCAATTCTATAACGTGGCCTTGCATTCCAGAGCCAAAGCAGCTGTTTTGTGGGTTACCAGAGTAACAGTCAGCAACACTTCCCTTTTGATTAGTTAGCAGCAGTGTTGGGCAGTAACGCGTTATTAGTAGCGTGTTACAGTAATGCCGTTAGTTTTGGCAGTAACTAATACTCTAACGTGTTAGTTTTTAAATTCAGTAACTCAGTTACCGTTACCAGACGGTGCTTTACTCCGTTATCTTTGGCCAGGTTTTTAAACCCCGCGCAGCATACAGTATTCCTTCACAAACTGAAGATCCCTTTCACTAAAACATTTTAGCCCTAAACAATAAAAGATAGTCAAGTCAGATAGAGGTATATGAACAATTCTTACCAGAGCATCTTAATGAAACACGTCTCTCACCATCTCTGAAGGCACTGTCGACCTGCTGGCCTCACCACAGTGATGTAATGTTACATTAAGCGGTAGTGCTTCTGTGTACTTTTAGTCCCAGTAATGTTATATCCAGTGACATGATATCCATTGTTATCCCGAGGAAGCTTTTGTTGTGGACAGACAATGTCTGCGGTGGGCGACAGACTCGACATCATCATGTAGCTCTTCAAATGTTCTCTTTAGCTCATTTTCCATGTTTGTATCCAAGTACCGTTTAGCTGCCTGACAGCGAGTGACTCCACTGTAGAAGACATGTTGCATGTTACCTATACCGTTCAATTGTTTTGTCAAGTTGTAGTCTAACAGTCCCTTGGTTAAACTCCATCCGCTGTTGCTTAGGCGATGTAGCTATGAGCCAATACAGTTAGGGGAAACATCCCCACTCAGTCATCTACAGCCAGGACGTACTCAGAGTATAGATGACACTAGTGCGTGTGCGTCAAGGTCTTGGCGTGATGGCGAGCCAAGACGAGAGTCCTAAGTCGAGTTTTTTAAAGAGTCAGCTGTTTGTTAGATATTTGATAGAGCTGTTTGAAATGCTCATGGTTCAGATTTCAGTGACTGCTGTAGAGTTGAAGCTGCTGACATTTGATTTGAAAATAATGTTCCTCTCCACTGTGTAGACAGATCCTAAACTATTGGTGTTAATACCAAAGGTCAGATCCAGCTGAACTGAGTAAGTGATCAAAAATAATTAAATATCTGAAAATCTGTGGGTCCTGCTGCTGGAAACATGGCTGGCTGACACTGACTTTGGTGTGAACAATGGTGTCACAGTCAGTTGGCCCAGAGAAATGAAGCTGACCACAGGCCTGAGCCCTGTCAGACACTTATTGAGTATCGTGATGGGAAACAGGAGGGGTCTCCACACCCAGTGGCCCTCTGGGAAATTGATCGCTGAAGACTGCCTCAAAAACCTGGCAAATGCTGGCTGATTTCAGATCTGTTGCCCACTGCTCACATGAGAGTGCCCAATAAACTGTGTCTGTAATTTTCAATACACAGAAGCAATCACACTATTGAAAGACGCACGCTCACACACAAACACACCCCATTAAGCCTCCGCCGTCTGCTACTTGGCTTCATATCTTGGCTAGCTCTTTTTTTGTCTCTTCATCAATACATCTTTTTTCTGTCTAACCCCCCCCGCGCCTCTTTTTAAATGCACCCACACGAACACCGCACAAACACACTCGTCGACCCGACGACCCCTGTCAGAGATTTCGATTATTGGCTAGCACTCCTGCTGAGCTGAGGATGGGAGTCCTGACAGACTGAGTCATCTCTCTCCCCTCACCATAATCCATCTGCACTGCAGCAGAATGACCAATGTCCATAAAGCCTATTGACAACTCTCCTCATTTTGATTAGCTGTCATATTGTGCACAGCACTCTCTGAGATATCTTTGTTTTCATGCCACGGTGGCAGCGTCCTTTGCTGTCGCTAATCAGATGCACTCATCTGAAGAACTGGATGTGATTGAATCTCATAAGATTTGATGTCTAAAATATTCCCAAGTGGTTTGATTTCAGTTGTGCCACCAACAAAAACAAATTTTCTCACTGTGTTTATCTTCTAAGAAAACCATTTTTCCATTTGCAAGTAGACCAGGCGACGGCTTGTAAATAGAAAAGTCATCAGAGTGACTGACAGCGGATATATAAGCCTGTGTTGTATGGTGTTTGTGTACAAACTTCCCCTCATTGTGTATGTGGAAGCGTGTACGTGAGGAGTTGATTAATGCCCTGTCACCGTTGGCAGTTGTCTCGCTAGTGGTGACAGGGTGAGTCCCCTCTTCCTGCTACCTTCTCTTTTCAACCTCGCACATCTCATCACGTTGCCAACACCTAATCACAATATGTTCAGTTCTGGAAATAACTAGAAGGATCTCCTTTTTTCCCACTCTCTTGTGTATTCTACTTTTTTTCCTGCCTCACTGCTGTGAGTTCTGGTCTCTGGCGTCAAATTGTTATTTGTTCTTTTGCCAGCTTGACACCACACCATATGGCTCCAGAGAATTGAAAATGGAAACACTGAAAATTAATGCTTTGCCTCCCTTCCATCTCTCGCCAAATCCCCCTACCCTTACTGTGTCTGCAACATTGACACTTTTTAAAAGTGGATGTTGGGATTGAGTGGCTCATGCTTGTGCACAGTGTTATACAAAAATAATATTGTCTGGAAGAGCAAAACATGCTTTATGAGAGAATAATACACCCGCTGCTTTGACTTTCCCAGCTCTTAAATATCTAGGCAATACAGTGGAGTGTCCTGGCGGT